ATATATATAGATAGATAGATAGATAGATAGATAGATAAAATTCGTATCTTGTAATACTTTTTTTATTAGACTAACAGAATCTTTTAATGACAAGCTTTCGGGAGAACCTCCCTTATATATATATATATATATCTCAAAATACATGAAGAATGAAAATCTGCTGACCCCCTGCCCCGTCTCTAAAAACACCCCTCCCCACAAAACCCCTGTGCAGTGTGGGTGGTGGCTGAACAGATAGCACTCCACCAAAGAAATTTCATGCCCTTGTTAAGTCCTATTCAGGCAGATCTGAAGCAGTGGAACTACCTGCATATATATTGGCATGGCCGCATAGCCGTTGTGAAGATAGATATCCTACCCAAGTTCCTATATTTATTTCAGACAATCCCTCTAGCCCTGCCGAAAGTGCTTTTTACTTTGAGAACTTCAGTGCTTCAATATCTCTGGAAGGTGGAGAGGTCTCGGTTAAGATATGATTTATTGTGCTTACCAAGGCAATTGGGAGGACTGGCTTTGCCAGACTTCCTTAAGTACCATCAAGCAGCGGCACTCCAGAGGTTATGGAATAGCATATTGCTCCTGCACATAAACAATGGGTCAACTTTTATAGAGGGGGACTTGAGACATCTTGGCCCTTGGTGGTTTGGAACTCAGTGAACAATACGTTCGCTAAAAGCAGGAGAGATTCCTCGGTGGCCCAGATGTTACGGGTGTGGGGACAATGTGTGTCGTGGCACATATCTCCCCAATGCTGAGCCCACTGTTACCATTGAAACACTGTGTGAGTTTAGGCCGGGGACTTCCACCACAAGCTTGGGTCTTCCTTTGAGGGGAGGAGTTAATTCTGCTTCACAAAGTGCTGAGGAAGGCATGACCACAGGGACTAAGTGAGCTGTTAGGTAACGTTACTCCATTCCCCATACATGTATATCGCTACACATAATTGCAACACTTTTATAACCACTTGCCAAACAGATTGTCCATGCATCAAGAATTAAAGGATCACTATAGGGTCAGGAACACAAACATGTATTCCTGACCCTATAGTGCTAAACCCACCATATAGGTGGGCTGCGATGGCCATGGGCCGAGACCAGCAGTGGAGATAACAGGATCTACGCAGGGCCGGCACTATCCAAGCGCCGGCCCTGCTGCATTCCATGATGGGCCGGTGGGGAGATCTCCCTCACTGGCCCACATGCAGTATATTGCAGGCGCCAGACAGGAGAGGAACCCGGAGGAGCTCCAACTTGCATCTCCGCTGGGTTCCTCTCACGAGATTCGGAGCGTTGCCATGGCAACACTCTGGGTCTCGCAAGAGTGAACTCTTGCCCCACAGGCTTCACTCACCACTAGCACCACCAGGGATGGCAGCAGCACAATCCCCCCTCCCAAGCTGAAGGTAAGAAGGGGGGGATACAATCACTCACAGCACCCTCACTCACACTGCACCCCTGACACTCAACAGCACCCTCACACACACACTGCACCCTTACTCACACACAGCACCCTCACACACACTGCACCCCTGACACTCACAGCACCCTCACGCAAACACGCTGCACCCCTGACACTCACAGCACCCTCACTCACACACTGCACCCCTGGCACTCACAGCACCCTCACATAAACACGCTGCACCCCTGACACTCACAGCACCCTCACGTAAACACGCTGCACCCCTGACAGTCACAGCACCCTCACTCTCACACACACTGCACACGCACATAGCACCCTCACTCACATACAGTACCCATCACTCAGACACAGCACACACACACACAGCACCCCTGACACTCACAGCATCCTTACTCACACACATACACAATGCACCCCTGACACTCACAGCACCCTCACTCACACACTGCACCGCTGGCACTCACAGCACCCTCACTCACACACTGCACCCTTGGCACTCACAGCACCCTCACCACACACTGAACCCCTGACACACACAGCACCCTCACACACACACACACACTACACTCCTGACACTCACGGCACCCTCACTGCACCCCTGGCACTCAAAGCACCCTCACTCACACACTTTGGTTCCTGTGTCACTGTCTTTATGATTTAGGACTATTTTTAAAAAAAATTTTTTATATACTATAGCATATCTATATACATCCAGTTTCCCATTTATGCAGCCTTTCCAGCACACACAATTTTTGATTGATACTTTGTATGTTTCACTTATTCATAGTAACATTGTTATAACTGACAGGCTTTAGCACCTGCAACAATTAACTGTTAGGTATGCGTTTTTCTTCTTTTTTAAACATCTTGTTATGTTATAGTGGTTACATCCTATCTGGATTTAGATTTGGTTAGCTTCACTATATACAGTATTTGGGCCTTTTCTTGAGCTATATATATATATATATATATGTTCTGATCTAGCCCTCTTTCTTAATACTATTCTAAGTGTCCGTTGGTGGGTTCTATATTGACAGCGTGTAGTACATTAGTGTACTGTATTTGCACGTACTAGCTTTCTGAATTGTATTTTGTATGTAGTACTGTGCAATAAGACATCTACCTATATGTCATAGTATTGCTCTTCTAGGTAAAAGTCTACACTTTACCAGCATAAATCATTAGGTTTTCCTTTTTAAATCACACATACACTGTGCACGTTTATTTATTTTTTTCACCTTTTTCTTTTTTAATGTCGTATGACGCAATAAAGATTAAGTTTATTAGATCATTATACTTGCTTTCCCTCCTTTTGAGCTATATACGGTTGTTTGGGTAAAAGCCGCATTAATTATGCGGTACGCTTTCTTCTTTTCTCTTTGAATGTACAAGAGCACATAATTAGGACTGAGACTAACTGGAAGGAGGCTTTTAATCATAAGGTTAGAAGAGTTGTTTGCCTTGTGAATTTGTTAGCGATTCATTTTGCTTTAACTTATGCAAAACACTAAAGGTGCTGGAACATCATTAACTGTAATGATGGTTAGTGTCAAACAAAAATGTATTTTGGAATCTATTACATATGTTGCCTTGGCGTATCCTTCACTAGGCAACCTGTCCATTTCTCTGGATTTCAACATTGTATAAAAAACAAGATTTGGAGAGATGAGGAGTGTTACTGCTAAATTAGTCTCCTTACTGTTTACCTGTTTTTCTATAACATAAGTTGTGCCTTTTTCCCTGAAATGATCTTGGTTTAGGTCTACACTGATTTCTAGTGTCTTGACTTGGGCAAGTTACATGTTCACATCGACCTCTATAACCTTGACCTTGGCCTGGGTTAGCCACCTTTTGGTGCTCTTTGGAGAACAGGCAATATATCTATTGCTTTCCCTTTCTTCTTTTCTGTACTTCTTGATAGCTTTTTAGCACATTCAAAGAAAATAGAATTTCAAAGCAGTGCATTAAACAGTGAACTAAACAATACTATACATGTGACACCCATCTCTTTTCAACATTATTATAAATATACTAGTGTACATCATTCACCTATGATAAACATATGTTAATAAGCCTGCTCTATGAATAGAAGCTCAAAAAGATTGCATTTCTAATAATGAGTGTAATGCAAAACATGTAAATAACCAACACAGCATTGTTGCTCCGGAAGTTTATCGTAGCAACAGTTGCTATGCTACAGACAGTATACAAACATTGTGGTTGTGCCAATGCACTGTTTAGGAACTAAACTGATCAATGTGTAGCTATTGTAACTTGGACCACTGCTGGAAATCTCTCTGAGATGAAGTTGAACATTAACTCTTTAAGAACCAAATGCAACAACCTGGTTCCTGAAGAAATCATGTTAGTTTTGTTTACCCTGCTTATTTAGCTTTATGCCAGATAATTCAGCCTTATATTTGACCCGGTAACTTTCCAAAATCACATAAAACTGTACATGGCAAGTACTGTTGTACTCGTGAGACGTCGCTGAATACAAATATGAGTGTTTTAAAACAATAAAATGTATAATGACAATGATATCGTCAGTGAAAGTTTAACTTTTTTTCTGTGAACACTTCTTACTTGGCAGGCTTGTATTCAAAATAGGAGTCTCATATGGAGTTCGAAAAGTTCCTCTGGAAGAGAGGACATAAACTATTTACCTCTTTATACAGAAAGAGATAATGTCCCATGAAAGGAAACCTAGTCTGTAGGGTCCGGGGGTAAAAGAAAGAGTGACTTGAGTGTGTCTGGGTGCGCACCCCAGGTCAAGGATGGAAAAAGGAGGATTAAGGAAAGAATTAATGAGAAAAGGGGGGTGGTTTCGAATTATTTCAAAACACAATTCTTCAATGCACTGTGTCAAAGTTTCCAGATGGGTTGAACTATACCAAGCTGCTGCTGCATCATCACAGTTATCAGAAAAACAATATTCGCAATTAAAAAGGTCCTTGAATGTTATAGTGTCATGAAGATATGGTAATTACACACATTTCTGATTATACACCTATCTGATTTAAGGAGTGTATGATTATAAATAAAACTAGCTGAAGAGACAACTATTTACATGCATATTTAGCTTTTTACATATACATTATCCCTTTGGGATGAAAAGAGCTTTAGCTATCTAAAATCATAGTGGTATTGCCATTCGCTATTCACATTGCTCTACAACAGGGGTGTCCAAAAGGTAGATCCCCAGATGTTTTAAACCAACAACTTTCATGATGCCTTGCCATTCTCAAGTCATGCAAAGACATACAAAGCATCATGGGAGTTGTAGTTCTACAACATCTGAGGGTCTACCTTGTGGGCACCCCAGCTCAACTAGTTCCAAGAAAAATCAGAAAAGGGTTTATGTTTACGTTACTGTGAACCATCAACATATGAGATTAATTCTCTTAGTAGATAAATCTGACCACTGAGAATGGATAGATCTATTATCTACTATTGCAACTCGTTAAATCCCATGCTAATCCATGCTACATTGATCGCGCCTGCTAAACATTACAGGCTTTTTAGTCCAGACAAAAATTAAACACCTCTGATTTTTAAAAGCAAGACATAAAACACAATGGTGAAAATTCTAAAATTGATATTTATTAAATGTATCAGTACAAAAATCAGTTTTAATCTATATACATTCACGAAAGCCTTTTTCACAGAACCCCAACAAATAAATAAATAAATAAACACCTCCCACCAAACCAGAGAAGCCATTTATGGTATATTAACGAGGCAACAAACCTAAAAATCTTGCGTTCTCCAGTACCATTCTGCAAGCGCTGGAAGGATCTATTCAGCTGTTCTGTGTACACAGGATTTTGGAAGTATCCAGATAAAAAATGATGTGACAGTCACAGACATTCAGAAACCTTTCTTAATTCTATTCAGGAACCCTACATAGTATTTATAAATCCTGTGTCCCATAATAACAAATTGTCTACCAATGTTCAGTCTCCTTTTGCAGGATATTTGATTTGTACAGAGAGGTTGAGACAAACCAATAAGGTGAAAGAAAAAGAATCTACAAAAATCTTACGCAGCCATACTATATGCCATCATACCATACCATACCACCAACTATATTGGTGGATTAGGAAGGCTTGTTGGCTGCAACTGTGATTTAATTAAAGAAATAAACTGCCACAGTAAGGGATTGATCATGTGAGAAGAACTGCCAAAATGCAGCAAAGAAATAAATAAAATGAAACTACTATGGCACATAACGAAAGGAATTATTTGTAAAAACAAGATGTAGAGAGAGAGTATGCATCAACAGGAACGATAGTGAGCAGATCCATAGAGTATATTAAGAGATCAGATTAGCATTAGAAGTTATGTAGAGTTATGTAAAGGAGGAACGCTCGGGAGGTGCAGAGGCACACTTACACTGATTAAAGGAAAGAGGAGTAATGGAAAATGATAGCATTACCCCCACATAGCAGGTGAATGGAACAAGATTATTGTTGGGCTTTTGTTTTATAAATAAATTATATAAGAGGATTTACTGGAAAGTGATTATGAATCCACTGAAAATATCTATCATGATTGTGCTATTTCTGTAAAATGATCCAACAATCATGATGTATGAGTTGCAAAATGTTTAAATTAACATTCATAATTAAAAATTGTCTCTCCCAACCAAGATGGTCAGAAAAACCTGCACAACAGATAACTGAAATGTTTCATTTTAGTGTATATACTCATTTTCCAGTCTTTATTGTGCTGGCATAGATTTTGGTCCAACGAGGGGCAGACAGGTCAGGGTATATTCTAGGTGAGCTTGATTAGGTTAAAGATCCAACTGGATCACTCTGCTGTTTTTATCCAGTGCATCGGACACAGAGGGTGTGCTTACAGGGAGCCTTGCAGGCTGTTGATCCTAGGGAGATGACCTGTCCTCATTTTCTATAGGACTGGCTGCCTGCAAGAGAAAAGAATACAGGGATGAACAGAAATTGTAATAATAAGAACATAGTTTATACACTGGTCCCTGGTGCTGGAAAGAGCTTGAAGTAATGTCACAGTGAATGAATTAGCAGAATCTCCTTGCACTTGCAAGCCAATGTTTACAATGAACACATACTGTATGCAATATCAGTTATACCACTGTCTCCTCTAAAGCAATCAAAACAGGAGTATATTATGCATAACATGGCTATCAGTGAAATATACTTTTTTTTTTTTTACATTAAAATTATATATGAAAATTAACATAATACATATTTAACACCTTGTAATTTTTTTTACAGTAAGCAGAAAAAGACACTCACATAGACATTCACTAAAGTGGGAATTCAAAGTGGATTTCAAATTTAAAGTCAAAGGAACCAAAGTGGAAAACTTCTCGGCATTACCTATGCTTTCATTTCGGTTACTTTGGCCTTACATTTTAGATTTGATTAGAATTCACTCAGAATCCCCAACAATCCTCACTTTATTGACTAACCCAGTCACTAGTAATGCAATGGCATATTTTGGTACTGTTGAAGGAATCCTATTGATCTTGTCCACAATAGAAAGCCTAAAGTGCTTTTTCTTTCAAAAATCTAATCTACAGAGACCTGATTCATAAGAACATAAAATATTGAAGTAATCCATTGGTACTTAGAATGCTACTTAAAACCTATTCATTTAAAAATAATTATTTTTATCCCTGAACAAAACCACGTGGTTTTGGCCCCAACCCTTCTCTCTTAGAAAAGAGAATCATTCTTGGTTATTTTAAAGTGTTTAGGAATGTCTCTAGACCAAGATTGAGATGTCCAATGACTCTTGCATTGATATTGTATATGACTGAATTAGTGGTACATGGACTGTACTGTCATGCACAACCAGCTTCAAAGCTTTACCCATTACCAAGTTGTGCTTGTATTATAACTGTTTTTGGATGGGCTTTGATATTTACCACTTTATGTACAGGAACACTCAAAGAACCAACAATGACATAATAGGAGAGCAGCCCTTACACAACTCAATTTTTTGGAAATATTATGCAAGGCCAAATCATATCACAAAGGCCTAATCACTATGTTATATTCCCATCTATGCTCCACCATAACAGACTGGGTAGACTACACTATACCGATCAGTGGGAAGAAGAGTTGAATGAGTTACTTGAAGGTACAGACTGGCAGGCTATATGAGAGGCAAATACCAAAACTACCATTTGCATAACAAGGCAGGAACAATCTTACGAAACAATTTAGATTGTACACCACACCTTTTAAATTGTATCATATGCAAAAAAAAAAAAACGGACACATCTGTGTTGGAGAATATGTGGGACTAGGGCAATGCATAGCTACATGTGGTGGAGTTGCATGCAGGTGACTGTATTTTGTAGGTAAATTAGTAACCTCGCTTCCTAGATTTTTTCATAAACACATAGACCTACACCCATGGGTTTTTCTATTATCTAAGTCTCTAGATAACAGGATGAAAACAAAACAGGCTTTTCTCCACAAACTAGCCCTAGCGGCCAGAAGGCAACTAGCTCAGTTCTGGATTCAGCCCAGCATGCCTCTCATAGGAAATATTCTACTAAAATTAAAATATACCTATTTAATGGATAGGTATAAAAACACAGCAAACCACTCAAAAAACATCCTGACCTCTAATTCATAAAATAAATAAATAATATATAAGAATTATTTGTGCAAGTGAGTGGAAGCACTTGCCTTCTTCCAATTACTTGTACAGGCACATTTGACTAGTGGAGAGCAGTCTATTAGTTACTCTACTGCATGCTTTACATATCATGTATTTAAACCCTGGCGTATAGCTGTGGTTTCTAACTCAGTCCTCAATGCACACCAACAGTCCTGAATATAGCTAATTCACATTTATTGCCCACTGGGGCTACTGACAAAAATTGGACCTTCGATGTTCCCTGAAGACTGGATTGGAAACCACTAAAGTAGAGGACACATTTATGGTGAAAGTGCAGCTTTCCGAGAGGTATTATGGCACTATGATTAATCTAATTCATTAAATATAATATAATCCATTACTTGCAGAAGCAGCAGATCCTGGGTATTTATAGAGCAGCCACCTGTCATTGTAGCTGCTCAGTTAAACACAGGGAATACATTACATAAAATGACCCACGCCTGTACTTTGTCTGTACTTACTTTGTCTGCTACGAGTGGAAGATCCAGCTGAGGTAGGACGACTGGTTTGCTGCGGGCCAGACTGAGAAAACTGTGGAGCAATGGTAGGGGTCTTGGATTTTCGAGGGTTGTTACTGTGTACCTCTGGGCTGCGTGCTTGCCAGGTTCTGCTGTTTAAGGGAAGAGAGAGCTATGGTTATCAATGTGACCTGAAGATGTACGTTTGCTAAATAATTGACCAGACAAAACTGTTTCCCAGGATCACTGTCAGCATTTCAGCAACTCAAATCTATACTACACAAACATTTTGTCACACTCCATGCTTTCAAAACATTTGTAGAAACATGGTAACTTGGTGGCTCCAGAGAAATAGACCATAGTAGTTCTCATAAAATGTTGTATTGTGGTACAATGCCATTCATATTAAGTATTTTTCTACATGTGATAGGACTTTGCATATCGTCTAAAGAGTGACATGTGTTTTCTTCTACACTGCGATCAGCTGTACAAAAGCATGTTACGTGGTATATGGAAATATATTAAGTAGTAGAGCCTTGACCTGCTGGCATGTCCATTACTCTTCTCCAAGCCTAAGTCCAAGATGCGAGGTGAAGATGGGGACATTGTCCCATGCTGGTCTGACCGACTTGTTGGTGAGAAGAGCTGAGATGATTCTGATTCAACAGCTGTGAAGAAAAGGAGAAAGAGTGTGATAATCAAATTTAATGTATCAAAATCACAAGTTTATACGTCACTACTCAAGAAGGAACTAGATTACAAGCTTGACTTCAGAACATAAGCTTGCAGGTAGAAATATCAGTAGCTAATACTAGTTTGTATGTGTAGAGCTTAGTTTTGCTATGCCCTTCACTCAATGTATTTAAGTCTGAAGAATATGTTGGTTTATACATATAATCCAATGATGGCATATGTAAGTAAAATATAATAAGATGCCTACTATCAAAGTGGAAATGTGGAATAGAATGAACACACACACTAGCTGTGGCCTTGGCTATTTTTGCTTACATTTTGCAATCCAATTTTCAATTCAAGGTTTACTTAATATGTGCATTTCCCACAATCAGAGGCTCTTTTAGAATTGGACAACTGAAGTACAGCAGCATTGTGCAAAGAATATAAATAGGGATGCACCGAAATTTTCATCCGAAAATGGGCCTATTTCATTTCGTCCGAAAAAGTGTCAAATCTTCCAAAAACTATACCCCTCCCTTCCACCGCGTGCACAGACATCCCATCTCTCCCGGTGCGTTTGTCTCGCCAAATTCTCCTCTCTGATGTGGAAGTGAAATTCGGGAGTTGTGGAAGACGCGGACGATGGAGTCACAAAGAGGAGATGCGCTGCGTGTGCGCATGTCAGGGAGGACGCGGAACCGGGAGCTTTATCCAGCTGCGCATGTTGCTGTCTGGAGAGTGAGGTAGGACCGGGTATGAGGGAGCGGCTAGTATACAGGCACTGTGTGTCATGGCAGGGTGTCTGTGGTGAGCTTTGCCCGGGTTTGTCCAGCTTACAGGCGGGTTCAGAAGTAGTACAGAGTCCCTGAGCCCTGTGTGTGGGATGTATTGGGCTGTGAAGAATTATTCTCTAGAAATCCATCCTGATGTGTCTGGAGAGGTCAGAATATATTTTACAGGAGACGAGAGATGTACCAGGATTGGCTGACCTCAGTCCATGTCAGCTGAGGACTCCCATAGACCGGGATTGATTGTACTAAAGCTGGAGTATCTTTATATTGTAAACATATTCATGAGGAAGGACAACTAGAACCAGAGCAGTGTAGGGCAATCTGCAAATAATATTATATATGTGAGATGTAAAAAGTGTTCTGTAGTGGACACATTGATTTATTAATTAATTTTACACCGGCTGTGTGTTGCCACCATGGCAAGTTAGGTACTGTCCTCAAGTTGCCACTGTACCACTTTTAGTCACCAGTTGCCACCTACCCCTTTGCCAGCCGCAGGTTGCCACCCTTCCCCTTTGCCAGCTGCAGGTTGCCACCCTGCCCCTTTCACGCACAACCTGTGGGTTGCCACTCTACTGCTGTCGCACAGTATTAGTGTTTGTTTTGGTCTGCATTTGGCATGATGCTCAGGCAAGGGACCAATTGAAACTTATTGGCCCATAACAATAGAGTTACATATGTAAGGCTGTTTATTTTCCTTTTTATATTAATAAAATTATAGAAAAAACTATTTTAAAATCATTTGGGGGGAAAAGTTATTTTCGGTTTTGGTTTTGGTTTTCGGCCAAGGGCATCCAGAATTTTCATTTCAGTGCATCCCTAAATATAAATGCAGTTTTCATGTAATGTTTCTGTATCCATTCCCTAAATTTTGAAACTTTCAACAAACTTCATTATGAAATATAAAAAAAAATATAGAAAGAAAAAAAGATTCAATCATGTAAATTAGAACAAAGCCTCAGAGGTGTGATACAGAATCTTCTATATATATATGTGCCAATATGTTTGTATGCTTTAAAATATTAACATGCCTCTTGACAGTTAACAAAAGATTACAAAAAAAAAACTCCCCATATTAAGGGATTTTGTTTTTCTAATACAAAAATATCATAAGAATAATAGTTAATTCGAGCTGTTCCCTTTCCTTACACTACATCTATTTGAAGAGTAATTCCCATATAGATTTGATACAATGAAGAAAAAGTTACCATTTTGCTACAGTATTTGTTCTATGGATATTACCCAGTTTCCTGCTAAAGATACAGGAAGCATGATTTCCTGTCTGATCAAGAGCATATTTTGTCAAACTGAAATCTCTCCTAGTTAAGTGCCACCTGTTCCAAGGTCACAGTGCGGACACTAGAATATTGGACAGTTGACTTTCAAAATTTTACACCAGCACAAAAGGGAACCTGGAATATATGCCATGTGAAAGCCTGGAGAAAGCTCCTTTTTCTTTTAACATTGTGCAATAAAACAGAAAAAGAGAACTTGTATTCAGATTCATCAGCATGGAAAACGAAGTGCCCTGAACTGCTTTGGAATAGGAGTCATGACTGCTAGCCAGTGATAGTAATGTTTCTAAACAAGAAGTTGGAGTGTTTAACCATATCCGAATTTCAGTGTCCACCTCTGTGTCCGTAATAGAATTCAAGCTCTTGGGGAATAAGAGTTAATTGCTTTAGTTCAACAAGGCAGCAGATTGTAACAAGGGTGTCTTTTAGATATTGAACATGCATTTAAAAGCCAATCTCATGTGCTGCATTGTATAGATATAGCACGGACTTTATACCTTTTTTTTTTTTACCAGGCAGTTAATGTCCTAAAGTTTAATAAAGCGGTGCCCATCAATCTTTGCCAAAAGAATATTTATAAATGTGCAACAGGGGCACATTTGTGTTTTACTGTTGTGATGGAATTCAGCAGTTTAGTCACTTTAAGAGAGGCCGTATTTGGAGAACATTTACCCTGTCTCCTACAGAGATATATGTTTTAACGGTGCTTGTAATTACTGCCAAATGACTCTTCTGTAGAATAGATATAACAATCCTCATAAGAGGGTCCAAAATTCCACAAAAGGATCAAGTGCATATTTTTCAACAGGTGATTTATACTGACCCTGGCTATGAATAAGTGACACCAAGAATTTGCTAAAAACTACATAATATAAGTGGCAACTTTGCTTGTCCCTCTCTCAGCTTTTCAGTTAGCCTGTAGCATTCAACTTTACAATTTTGAATTATGCTACACTTTGTTATTGGTTTACTTTTAGATTGTCTTGTCTGAGCAACAGAACAGTGCTACAAACAAAAACGAAGTTATGCAAACCTATAAATAAATTTGTGTATAGTTCTTTGTTCATTAGCAGGACATTAGGAGCAAGTGTAATACATAATGGTAAACACACAGTGGTACAATTATAACAGGCCTGCAATCATAGAAGTGAAACCTGGCTGTGTGCCCAGAAAAGAAATAATATGAATGAAACAAAAAGGGGGTACTATAAAGGGGGGGCTGCCAATTATGAAAACTCATTATACAATAGGCAATAGCAAGGAATTAATTAGTCATCAATGTTAATATTCCTCCTTTAATCTCTACACTTTAGAATAGCTTTCTGTGGTGATTTTGGCCTCAGCAGTTACTTTGTACCTTAGTTGGCTGTCTGATCTTCATTTTGACCTCATCCAAAAAAGGGATAAAGTCTCTCAGCCATTTCACAGCTTTTGTGAATTTATCAATTTCATTTTGATCTGTGTTGTCACAGTCCACAGTGGGGAAATGGTATCCCTGAGCTAGAAAGGGTCCCAGAAAGCCTAGACAACACCGCCTCCTTCCAGCTACTCCCATCGGGAACACCCCGGTTAGAGATTTACCCTACACCCTAAGAAAAAATAATACCAGGGATGGACCTTCCTGCACTAACGCTAAAAAAGCACTTGCGGGGTATGTCCTTGGACCAAAGACCTTGCTTAAAGTGAAACAATTAAAAATGCTACATAAAGTTCAACTACCTCAGAAAAAAGCAGAACAAGACCGGTTCTACATTTCCAGTTGTTTGATACAATATTCCACAAGTAACACATTTTAGCAGACTAAAACCACAATAAAATGAAAAGTATCAAATAAACTTAGATTTCTAACTTAAGCAAGAGAAACTCAATATGTTCCTTAATATAACATGTGCCATTCAAAGCAGATCCACAGGAGCGTTAGGACAAAGTATGTTCTGCACGTAGTTCATGCTAGGTGTGTTACATAAGCACATTATTCATAAATTGTTTGCTTAAGTATGGTGGCAGCTCACCAAACCTGTATTTATTATGTGTTCAGATCAATGGTAGAAGGTATGTGTCTTTCAGGATGAATGGCAAAGATATATGTGAGTATGTTCACGGTGCCGCAACAAAGCATCTACTTGAAAGTTGCAAAGATAAATTACTTCATAATGCAACCCTTGCTTACAGGATGAGGAGACACAGTAATCAGAGCTGCTAGGTCGACTGCCGCTGCGGGTTGGAGGTCTTGGGCTGGAACCAGAAGAATTTTTACTAATTCTGAAGGAACTTGAAGAAATTAAAGGTAAAATTACATTTTCTGGCCTGGAAATAAAACAGAAATTGATAATAATAAAACATGGAAGCTGAAACAGATACAATCTGACACATGTAAAAATATTAAAGGGGAACCATCACTTTGAAAAAAAAAAACACATGGCAAAATAATGAAAATCCCAAAGATCATGTGTTAAAGTTTTCACATAAAGCTAAAATTTCTTTTAAATGTATATCAAAGATTCAGTGAGTTACATCATAATCAAATGACACGTTGCATTGGAGGTGAAAAACAGTAATATTTTTCCATCTCTCTCAATGATGACTGGCAGCTCTAAAGAACAGAGCAGTGAGCCAAGGTAGAGCAGCTGGGCCCAGTGGTACAGTTAAATACATTGGTGTGGACCTCTACAATTCATTTTTCAGACCTCATGAACACATAATTGTTAAATATAGCGGGAAAGTAAAAAAATTACATGTAAGAGCAACTAACCTAAAATGACATGAGATCATCTAATATTAACACTATATAAAAGTATACTAGTAACATTAGTCAGTAGTAATTTATTTCTCAAAATGATAAAGCAAACAAAAAATATTTTACCAACAACATATTTTAGGTGCCTCTTTTCTAACACAGATCATTCAGTACTAGTATCTACTGCCAATGATAGCTATAGTTTCAAGTGAAGCTATTAGTTTATTAACAGTGTTGGATCAGAGTGCACATCCACACAAAATCAATGGCAAAATACTTCTAGCATTATATAGGGGGGCTGCCAAGGGATATGAGAACTAATTAAACAATAGGCAATAGTAAGTAATTAATAAGTCATCAATGTTAATATTCCTCCTTTAATCTCTACACTTTTGAATAGCTTTCTGTGGTGTTTCTGGCCTCAGCAGTTACTTTGTACATTAGTTGGCTGTCTGATCTTCAATTTTACCTAATTTTAAAAAGGGATAAAATCTCTTAGCCATTTCACAGGTTTTGTGAATTTATCAATTTCATTTTTATCTGTGTTGTCACAGTCCACAGTGGGAAATGGTATCCCCGAGCTAGAAAGGTAGAACTGGTCCCAGAAAGCCTAGACAACACCGCCTCCTTCCAGCTACTCCCATCGGGTAAACCCCAGTTAGAGATGTGTTTGCAAATATGTGTAGCAAACAATGATATGGCCAAAAGGGAGAAATCCAGCTGTAGAAGAACACCCATGATGCTTTGCCAGTTTTAAAGCGTTAAAAAATTTATCAAAATACTGTTCATACACAGTGTACTTATCACCAAGTTACTTGTATGGAATCAGTTCTGCATTCACAGGCCTAACACTGCATGCTGACAGTGAGCTCTACACTATTACCTGTGCTGTGTATACAACTTCAAGTGCACAGAATATGGACACAAACACTGGATGTGCTCTTAGACATATAACAAACATGGCACACATTCTGATCACAGGACGTATTAACAGAGTACTCATGGATCATGTGTCTGCATTTGACAACAATTATTAATATTATGTACAGGCACAGCCACGACAAACACTCACATTGTATGCACAGTTCTGTGACTGCTGGGCGTTACAGGTCTCTGTAAGGGTTCATCAACACTTTGCAAAACTGCAGGGAACATCTTCTTTTTTACCTTTAGTGTATGAGTCAAAATCTGCATGAGAAAAAAAAAATGAATCCCCAATCAATCATTACTCTGCATATCATCTAAAATCTGAACAATGTATCCATTTAAAACAGGGATGTAGGATCGCAGACAAAAAGGTAATAAAGTGGGATTGCACCCATAATAATCATTATGTGGATTCACAGACAGGATGATTATAATATGGGATTGCAAGTAGAATGTTTATAATGTGGAATTATGGGTTGCAGGCAGTTCTGTTGAAGGGGAGTTGTAGATGCCGACAGAGATGTAGTGTGGATACAGTAGCAGTAGGAGAAAATTAAATGTTCTAATTTGGATGATAAGATTACATGGGATAGATTTAGGTAGGGGTGGTAAAGGAAAGTATGAAATATCACTGAAATATTGAGATATAGGACTGTTCCTTGTGACATTAGGTCTATGAAGATTTAGACATACTGCCAGGTATTCTGTAGTCAGAAGCTTTTCTCCAGTAAGCTCTCCAGCTTGAGAAACGATAATTTCATCCTTGTCCAGATCAGCTTCCAGGACATCTTCCCCATCCTAAACAGGAAGAAATGGCATGGGCACACTGTAATTGTTGCCTTGTATTCAGTAAATACAAACAAGGTAGGTGGGGCTAAAGCTGTATAAAAAAGTGATCTAAATCTTAACTGGCAGATAATTGAGCAGCAAGACTGCAGAGGCATGATCTATACACCAAAAATGCTTCATTAAACTAAAGTTGTGTTGGTGCTTAAAGTATACGTTACAATTACGAAATTATCATAGTGAAAAATAAATATATATTTTTATTCTGTAATTTGTTCAAGAGGCTCCTTCAGTCCTAAAAAAACAAAACAAAAACAAATGTGTGGTTGCAGAAAAGGAGAGAGACAGAAAGAATATACAAAATTATTCTGGTCCTTAACATATCAACACTAAAAAGCTCTAAAGTGAGGGCGTGGCTTGGAGGGAGCCAAGAGCGGTCACATATACACTGAGCTCCAGCAATATCTCAACTTACACACGCTAAATACTGCTTGCAACTCAGCATCCCGACCTTGCCATAATCCCGGATATTGGGGAAAACCATGGGGAAGCACTCTAAAAAGCTTAAAACTCTGTCTGATGTGAGAAATAAGAGCATCAGTGAACTTTTCACCATGCGGCCTAAATCTAAAATGGTGCCGCCGCTGCCGACATTTCCTGCTCCTCATCCTCCTCCGAGGACTTAATGGATGCCCCTGACCCTATACCGGAGGCAACAGGGCCGGCACCTAACATTCAGAATGAGGACCGTGGTGCACCGGTGACATAATGGACCTCAGGGCCTTCTTCCGCACAGATCTGGTGGTGGTCCAGGAGGAGGTGTCAGCGGTCACAGACAGAGTCAAGGTGATGGAGGAAGACATATCCACCCTCTCACTGTGCCAATCTGACTCAACTGAGCAGATAGAACACTTACAGACCTCACACACAGCCATGCAGGCGCGGCTAGACGCACTGGACGATGCCCACCGGCGTACTAATCTAAGTGTCAGGGGCATAGCGGAATCCTTTGAGGATGGTGAATTACCACATTTCTTCAGGTGCCTCTTCTCTGCCCTGCTGCCCCAATGGCGCACAAAACATGCTCTCCCTAATGGTTTCGATTGACTTCCTAAGTCCCCAAGGGCACTGGTTGCCGCTCCCTAAGACGTCCTGCTCTGCTTTCTAACATTCCAGGACAAGCTGGTGATACAAGACGTGCTCAAATCCAACTCGCCTTCCTATGTAGGGCCACATTGGAATCAAGCAAGAATTAACTACAGATGGGGACCATCACATACTTTAATTGCCACCAAAGATGGCACTACACACCGGCTTACAACATCAGAGGCTTCCACCTCATTCCTCACAGAGCTGGACCTCATACAGCACCAAGCCCCCACGCCTGCTACACACACCACCTGGGATGTGCAGAACATCACCTCCTTCGTACATCGCCCAATAGTGGACACTGGCTGAAAGGCATGTTCCAGGGAGGATCCCTCTCCCGGGACTAAGTGCAGTTCCCTGGACTCCACAGTCATCTGCAAGTTTCAAGTGTCTCCAATAGTTGCTTGAATTACGTATATCAGTCTATGTGCTGGCATTCTCCATTTTATCTATTTAAGTTTATGTTATCTTATTTTATCTAATTTTACAAAATTCTGGTGTATATGTCATATCTGACTCCTGTTTCCCACTAAGACTAAATTGTAACTTGGTAAATCTGTCAATCCCACCCCATCTTCCCCCCGGGGTGCCCAGGGGATATTGGGCACTGTAGCTGTAACTACCGTGGCCCCCACAGTAATACTGCACCCTGACATGCATTTACTATTCATGCCCTTAAGGGCGCTCCACAGCTTCCCACACCTATCAATGGAAGCTTACCAGCCCACATGAGATTGTTATGCCTCCCCGGACACCATCCGTCTTAATTCCCCCCACTAAGTCAGGTCAATAGCCAATACCATGCCGACCACCACTAGAAAGTTATTACAGCGAGAGGGGTCCTCAGCATCTGTTTTCGGGTAGTTACACTCTAGCTATATTTCTGTTTTACGGTTATGAACAGCCTATTGTTTGTAATATAAATTTTACTTACAATGTAATTTCACTGGCTCTGATATGTTATAACCGTCCACTCTATTAATGCGCTATCATACCAATGTAATTGTCCATGTCATTACCCTTAACTTAAAACTGTGCCATATCATCACGATGCTGACCAATTTTTCGAAATGCTATCTTATGTGCCTGTATATGCTGTTGGGGCATTTCATGCTACCTTGTCATGATTTTATGCACACCAAAAATAAGCTTGAAAGTGGTTAAAGGAAACACTCCAGTCATACTCTGAGCACAAACATAACTTAAAAAGTTACTCCAACAACAGTGACCACTTGTGATTTGAAGTGATCATAGTGGTAGGAATCTGTACGTGCAGTATTTCTGTTTGAAATGTTGCACATTCAGAGATATATTACCTTTGGCTCCAAGAGCTTGTTATACACCCAGAACACATGGTGGCTTATGTTCTACAATTGTAGAACCACGCAAAGATCTAAAGTGAAAAAATAAATGGCTACATGAACAATGCATAAGGAAATAGTCCCTCATTATATTAGAAAATTATTCATTCATAATGAGTCTGGAGACCTGTTAGAATTCTTGCCCTACAGGTGACTATATCCACCGAAAAGATGCTATACAATTAACCAACCAATTATAGTACTTAGTATTATTACCAACAAGTCTTGTGAGAGCGGAGACTTGCCTGTCAGAGCCCGGCCTGCCTAGTTCCTAATTGTAGTGGCAGTGAGCAGCTGATGGCTGCACATGGTTTAGTTGATTGGTCCCACCAGGTGAGGTGTAAGACAGATTAAGAAACTGCCCTATAATTAGATCAGGTCATATTGACCTTAACAGGCTTTAAAAAAAAAATTTTTTTGCACTTTTTACTGTGTGTTTACTGTGCCATATCAGCAGGCAAAATGTTCTGACATTTAAAATACAGGTTCAGAGTTTAGATATCTAGACCTGTATTTTAATGTTTGAATCAGGATTTCAGCCATTTATGTTAATTTCTCTACTAAAAGACGTCTCCAAAGGCGTTTCAGGGAATTTGGCAGTACATCCAACCGACCTCACAACTGCAGACCACGTGTAACCACACCAGCCAGGACTTCCACATCCAGCATCTTCCTCTCCAAGATCGTCTGAGACAAGCCACCCGGACAGCTGCTGCAACAATCGGTTTGCATAACCAAAGAATTTCTGTCAGAAACCATCTCAGGGAAGCTCCTCTGCATGCTCATCGTTCTCATCGGGGTCTTCACCTGACTGCAGTTCGTCATCATAATCGACTTGAGTGGGCAAATGCTCACATTCGATGGCGTCTGGCACTTTAGAGAGGTGTTCTCTTCACGGATAAATCCCGGTTTTCACTGTACAGGGCAGATGTCAATGTTGTGGATCGAGTGGCCCATGGTGGCGGTGGGGTTATGGTATGGGCAGGCGTATGTTATGGACAACGAACACAGGTGCATTTTATTGCTGGTATTTTGAATGTGCAGAGATACTGTGACGATATCCTGAGGCCCATTGCTGTGCCATTCATGCACGACCATCACTTCATGTTGCTGCATGATAATGCACAGCCCCATGTTGCAAGGATCTGTACACAATTAGTGGAAGCTGAAAACATCCCAGTTCTTGTATGGCCAGCATATTCACCGGACATGTCATCCATTGAGCATGTTTGGGATGCTCTGGATCAGCATATACGACAGCGTGTTCCAGGTCCTGCCAATATCCAGCAACTTTGCACTGCCATTGAAAAGAAGTGGACCAACATTCCACAGGCCACAATCAACAACCTGATCAACTCTACGCGAAGGAGATGTGTTGCACTGCGTGAGGAAAATGGTGGTCACACCAGATACTGACTGGTTTTCAGACCTCCCTAATACAGTAAAAATGCACATTTTAGAGTGGCCTCTTATTGTGGCCAGCCTAAAGCACACCTGTGCAATAATCATGCTGCTTAATCAGCATCTTGATATGCCACACCTGTGAAGTGGATGGATTATCTCGGCAAAGGAGACGTGTTCACTAACACAGATTTAGGCAGATTTGTGAATAATATTTGAGAGAAATAAGCCATTTGTGTACATAGAAAAAATCTTAGATTTTTGAGTTCAGCTCATGAAAAATGGGGGCAAAACCAAAAGTGTTGCGTTTATAATTTTGTTCAGTGTATATATGCCAGTTTTTCACTAGAGTAAATGTGGTGTTTTGGGTCTCATTTATTACGTTTTTATTTTCTAACAAATGTTTTTTTGAATTTTCAAAAGCCTATTAATAAAAAAGAAAATGAAACCTGGGGTGCACATACCTATGAGTTTAAGGAAACACATCTAATGTATGTAATATTTCACCCACAAACACAATGCAAATATGAAAGTATAACGTATAAACAAATAATATATTATGATTTTTCTATCTAAATACTAATGAAGCATTAAAAAAAAAAATATATATATATATATATATATATATATATATATAATATGAATTCAACTTGATTAATCTGTACTATTTCTTGTTCTCCTTGTATTCACTAAGGTTCCGTAAAGAATAATGTGCATGAAAGGTATGTGCCACCCCTCCTCGTTCCTAATCTCCCTGCCTCAGGTATGCAAAGGCCACAGGAGTTGCTTTGTTCCAAACAAATAATCCCCAAAACCAATACCCCACTCAGGTGGCACACATGAAGGGGGTGGGGAACCAAAATGGCCATAATACACAAAGGTTTTTTATGTGTCTACAAACACTGTATAGATGGGAACATTTGGAACAAGATCTAAATTAGTAGATTTGGAACATTTCCATTAACCCCCTTTCTCTTTTCCATTCCTTTTCCTAGGGATACAAAATACACTGTTCCCCACATATAGGTTATGATCACAATACAGTCCTAAATATATACATATCAGCACAGTGATGGAAAGTACACAAAGAAAGGGTCACTAAACATCAGTTTTAGTGAATTAAAGTGGCACTGTTTTTATGGCTGAAATTCCAACACAGCAAAAGATATACTAAGGCATAGAAGGGACTACTTTGTATTTGCATTTTTTCCTATGCTTAACAAAATGTAGGACTACCTTTTTTTGTCATATCCTCCGAGCCGTCACTAGTGATGGCTAAAGGGGAAAAAAGGCTTTGTCTATGGAGGATCCTTCTGTCTTGCAGCATCCTCCATAGACCTCATTGTTATACTGTTGCACGTTAGCAATAGTACAACACTTACCAGGAGCTCGTCAAGACCATGGCTGCAGCCGCAAGGGTCATGTTCCCTGCACCATGTGATCACTGGACATTTAGTAGAGGAATCACAGTCAGGGGTTTCTCCAAATTATGCTAAAGACCCAGATGGCGACAGGACAGATTTAAAAACGAATGCCAAAATAGGGTAAAAAAATAACGGACATGAAAAAATCCTCCAATTTAGCTATTATTGTCACAGTCTACTATCTTAGCCTCAATTCTACCATTAAGATATAATTTTTCTTTTCACTGATACTAACGTCATCACAGCTAGATAGGATTTTGAAGGAGAGATTAGGAAACGCAGGTCATCATCCATGAATTAGCTATACCATAGATGATTAAAAGGTAAATAATTTGTAGTTTTACAACTAGATATCCCATAATACTCTGCCAGCCTTAAAGGGGAACCGTTACTTCTCCAGAATTTATACCATTAAATAAAACAAAACCTATAAATCATGTTTTCCATGAGAAGCTCTGTTTTCTTTTACATTTGTATTAAAGATTTACCAAATGACACCATAATCTATTTTGGATAAGCCAAAGCCAGGGCAAACATTGCAACACTTCTCTCTGTACTTTCTCTCTGCTAACTACCAGGCGCAAAAGACATATCAATTGACAATGGCTGAGAGAGAGCCAAGATGGAGGCACCCAGGTGCAGAATAAACTAGTGAGGATTTCTACTTTTTTTTTTTTTTCCACTTCATTAATACATATATGTTAAATGTATGGATAAGTAAACTTTATAGTATAAAAATAGTGGGAACTGATAGTTCCACTTTAAAGAGACACTGGAAGCATGATTACTACTTCGTTTAATTAAAGTGGTTATGGTGTCTGGAATATCCTGACGCTGTCCTTCTATTCAGCATTATAATTTTTTTTATGTTTTAATGCTAAACAAGATCCCCCATCCACCCTGTGCTGCCTAGTTTAACAAGGAAGCACTACTCTGGGCAACACTGGGCAGCTGTGATTGGCTGAATGCAGTCAGCTGACACTCAGCCAATCACAGTGCCATTGCTAGTATAAATCAGTAAGTAATCTCTACCTTAGCTACTCCTCCAGGTGTCAACGCTATCTGAAGTTAACTACAACTCCTATCACTGATGCTTACTATGGTGGGCTTGCCATGTTCATAATATTGTAATAAATCTGCACTACAAGGATACTCATTCTCCAGTTAGCTCTTCTTTTTTTCCATTAAGTTCTTTTAAGTGTGCACTTGGAGCACAGTTACTGCCATGGTGGACTCAGAAATCTTTTTCCTGCTACTTTTGTGACATTTTGTATACGCATTCTCACTACTTTTTAATTAAGTGTATTTTTTTCCTCTTACTCGGGTTAGCGACACATACCTCTCCTTTGCTTTATTTCACATTTTCTCTATGCCTTACCCAAAGTGTGTTTCTTTTTACATATTCCTACCATTGCTAAAAAATATTTATTTGCGTTTTCTAAGCAGGTAGCATCGTGGAGAATTCCACTTTGCCATAAAAGCTCTGTCATTAAGGTGTTGTATTGCAATTAGCAGAAATGTAATTGTTTGAGACCAGTCAGTAAAAAAAAATAAAAAAATTTACACATGTATTCACAAAAATTACAGAGCCATAGTTATTTTAACTATTGATACAAGTATAACATTGTGTTAAAGATTATATTAAAACATAATCATAATTCTCGTAATAGTTATTTATTTTAATGGACTTCGTCAAATATTGATAAGATAATACACCAAGACCAATATTGTTCTTTTGAAAATTATGTTATTATGGTATCTTTTCCTTAGCCCTATGAGAATGGTGGTCTCTATCGCTTTACCCAGAATGACTTATAACTGCAACAATTTTAAATAAATAAATATGGGGGGAGGGGACCCCATACAAAACACTTTAGCCAAAAGCCTGTTCCATTGATCAATTTTACTTCTTCCTTTGTTCCTTTGCCATCCAAGATCGGTTTAATTTGTGAGTGTGACGTGTGTACACCGAGCACGATTCTTCCCTCCTTTTTCAGCTCTGGATAGTGCTCAAGCTATGTATGATTGTTGGTTCAGGTTGTGGCTGTACCCAGACTGGTTCAGAAACTGTTAACCAGGCTCTAAATAGGCAAATAGCTTTAAAATGTTTTAATATGTTTTTCCCTCCTATTTTAATAACTACATAATGCCTTTCAACACTTGGGCCTCTTGCATTATCTTGTGTCTTCATAGAACAGCAGACAAAAACTCATCAAATTCATACTTTCCTGTGGTCTCCTCCAAATGGGCATCTGAAGTTGGGGGTGTTTTTTTTTATCACATTAATGTTGCATTAAATACACTTTAGTTCATTTAGAACAAGCACTAAATTTGTCTCCCACATTGGAATTAGTGTAGGACCCACCAATATTGGGGTACTGTGGCCTAGTGGTGGGCTTAACATGATATGACCATATGGTTGAATTAAATACCCATATTTGTTTGCTAAGATAGGTGATTTTAAATAGTTTTGTAAAATATAAAACTGTATTTTAGTGTGTGTGCGGTTTCTTAATCTCTATTCTGAATAACTCATATACAGCGCTTTGAAATGTTTTTTAAAATTTGACAAAAGTCAGCACTTGAAACAGCTGGACTGACAGGTTTCAGCTACTTCTTAGTCCGGGCAGAGATCACAGATGGAAAATGGAGCTACGCAGCAAACTAAGGATTTTCAATGACGATTTGAAGTAGCCAGAGCCCTGGGTGAGGTAGTCTGAGAGAAATCTGTGTTTCCTAGTTCTGTTCTAACTAGCAGATATATACAATGTATTATCTATAATATACATCGTAAAAAATTATGCAAAAATCATAGAAAAAACTAAATAGAGGTACGTGATATTGCAGTATTATTATTATTATTTCTATAGCGCCAGCAAATACCGTAGCGGTGTAGAATGGGTGGACTAACAGACACATAATTGTAACCAGACAAATGGACGCACAGGAAAAGAGGGGTTGAGGGCCCTGCTCAATGAGCTTAGATGCTAGAGGGAGTGGGGTATAGTGACACAAAGTATAAGTAGGGGTAACGAAATCGGTTGCTAGAAAAGTAATCCCTTTTCTAGTAGGTTATTTTTAACAGTTGCATGGGGGAGGGGATGAAAACCCGCTAACAGTTTAGGTTATATGCTTTCCTGAAGAAGTGTGTTTTCAAAGATTTTTTGAAGGAGTGGAGACTGGGTGAAAGTCTAATGGAGAAGGGAAGGGAGTTTCACAGAAAAGGTGCAGCCCTGGAGAAGTCTTGGAGGCGAGCATCAGATGTGGGAGTACGGGCAGATGATAGGCGTAGGTCTTCGGCAGAGCGCAGGGGCCTTGACGGGACATATTTGTGTATTAGTGAGGATAGGTAGGTAGGATGAGCATTATGTAGGGACTTGTAAGCAAGCACCAGAATCCTAAATTGAGCCCTATTTCTAATTGGAAGCCAATGTAGGGATTGACAGAGGGGGAGGCGTGGGAGGTGTGGGTGGACAGGAAAATGAGCCTGATCGCCACATTCATTATAGATTGCAGCGGTGCAGGCTGGGAACACGTAAGACCACTGAGAAGGGGATTGCAGTGGTCAAGGCGAAAAAGAACAACAGCATGGACCAGCACCTTAGCCGCGTCTGGTGTTTAATAACGGCGTTTGCAAGCTATGTTTTGAGTTGGAAGCGGCAGGATTTGGCTATCGACCAGACATGAGGGGTGAAGGAAAGGTCAGAGTCAAAGAGAACACCTAGGCAGCGAGCCTGCAAGGTAGAGGTAATGGTGGCGCCATTGACTTGGAGACAGACACTGGAGTAACACTTGAGGGAGGAAAGACCAGAAGTTCTGTTTTGGACAGGTTGCGTTTAAGGAAGTGAGCAGCCATCCAGTTGGAAATTGCAGAGAGGCAGTCAGAGACACGAGTCAAGATGGGTGGAGAGAGATCAGGAGAGGACAGCTAGATTTCGGGTATCAGCTGATGAGTTTACCAAGGAAGGCAGTATAGTTAGAGAACAGTAGGGGACCAAGGACAGAACCTTGGGGAACACCAACAGAGAGGGGTTTAGGAGAAGAGGCAGAGCCAGAGAAAGAAACACTGAAAAAACGTTGGGAGAGGTAGGAGGAGCACCAGGAGAGAGCGGTATCCCATAGACCGAGAATGAGAAGAAGCTGTTGATAATCAACAGTGTCAAAGGCAGCAGAAAGATCAAGGAGAATTAGGATAGAGTAACGGCCACGAGATTTAACAATGATTAAATCGTTGGATACTTTGGTCATAGCTGTTTGAACAGAGTGACGAACGCGGAATCCAGACTGAAGCGGGTCAAGCAGAGAGTTGGAGTCGAGGAAGTCTGTCAACCTCGCATACACAACTCTCTCAAGGATCTTGGAGGCAAATGGCAGTAGCGATATAGGGCGGTATTTGGATGGGGAGTAGGGGTCAAGATTGGGCTTTTTCAGAATCTGCGTTATGGTTGCATGCTTGAAGGGTGAGGGAAATGTGCCGGGAAAAGATTGCAAATTTTAGTGAGAGGAAGAGCAAGAGAGGGAGACAGAGTGCAGATGAGATATGAAGGGAATAGGGTAGAGGGAACAGGTGGTGGGGCGGGAGGACCAGAGAAGAGCAGAAACCTCTTCCGTTGTAGTAGGTGCGAATGAGAATAGAAAAGTGGAGGGAGTGGGGTTGAGTGATGTATTGGAAGTAGAGGGAGAGAGGTTAGCGATCTCTTCCCTGATTGTAGAAATCTTCTCAGTGAAGTGAGTTGCAAAGTTTTAGGCGGACAGGGTGGTAGGAGGAGTTGGAACAACAGGGCGAAGGAGAAAGTGTGAAATAGTCGTTTGGGTTCACGGGAGAGTATGGTTATGAGGGTATTGAAGTAATTTACTTTTGCAGAGGAAAGAGCCAGAATGTAGGAGAGCAGCATAAATTTATAGTGGAAGAAGTCAGGTGCAGAGTGAGATTTTCTCCAACAGTATTACATACATATATCTATGTTTATATATATATATATATATATATATATATATAAAATAGAAAATAAATACTGATAAAAAATGACTTCTATGGAGTTGGTTCAAAACCACTACGGCTCTTAAATAGTAGTATGCATACATAGAGTACTGAAAAACAAATAGAACCAGCGCAGATTAGAGTATCAGGTACACCTAAGTGCTACAGTTTAATGAAGTACACACACACACACAAAAAAGTTTCGGGAGGACTACCCTTTATCAATGTACAAGTCACTCCATGAATGAAGGGCAAAGTACATTGAGAAAGGGTTGTCTATCTGAAACATTTGTTTTTTTGGTTATGGTGCTTTTATAGGGTATGTAGTACATCTATTGGTTTTGGTTCTTTTACGGTGCTGGTCCTTTCCACCAGTCCTAGGTCCAACTATTTTCCAGTGATTTGACCAAAACAAGGGTTCCCCACTTCTTTTCAGAAATTTGTGGGATATGGTCAGCGTCAGAAATTGATAAACGTCATGGATGAGAGCTGGTGAGAGCTCAGTAAGAAGCTAAAATTCCTGCTATAAAAGTCTGTAATGCAATGATACAATTAACTGCTAAAGAAAAATAACTATTTTAACATTTACGTAGAATATATGCGCTTTAGCAACACCACAAGTCAACAGCAGTCGGAACTTACTTCTTCATCTTCTAATTCATCATCATCTTCCTTATCATCAAACTTTTCTTCTGTAATAGAGTATAACAAAAAAATTAGGTCTTAATTTCTGTCTGCTTTAGAAATTTATGTAAGTGTGTCAGTTCCAATGGAACGCAAACATGTTCAGCTTCTAAAACACACAGTTTTGCAATATATGGGTTGATTTAACATATTATTCTAAAAACCTAGCTGAAAATGATCAATTAGCGAGCCAAAGTCAATAAACAGTTGGCTGGTCAAATTGGAATTCGAACTTTATTGGACACAGTCTAAATATATATATATCAGAATCAGGAAGAGGTGCAATCTTTGGCTATCAAGACATTGGGCATTCCTTCTCTTTCTGTAGGAACCCCTCTTCACCATATGCCAGCTTTCATAGATTGTGAAAAAGAAAATGGACATCTGACAGTGAACCCAAAGGGCAGAGAGGAAAAGTCCCAGCAAACTGGAAAAGGTGGACTGAAATATACGATTCACAACACCCTCAGTCCTTTGGAAACTAACAGATACAAGGAAATGTATTTAACTTAACATCTGCACCAACACTGGTACTGCCCTATGTGTATGGGACAATAGTTTAAAGTCATCCTTGAGAATGCAATACAATCTCAGGTAACATGTATGGGTTAAGTGATACCTCTCCACTATTTTCACATCTCTCAAGAATCCCAATAAAACTTTTTGAAGTATGATGTTAAGTGCCCTCCGTAGCAAGCCATCCATGTCTTGCTGTGTCTGATGCTACTGAGGTTGCATGATAAAATAGCTTCTTTCCTCAATGAAATGTCAAAAATGAATTCTTTAAATTGGATATTGGTGATCTCAGGAGTGGAGTGCTATGTCCCTGTCTGCTTAACCGTGCAATGTAAACATCGCTCTTCTGCAAGAATATCAATGTTTACATTGCAGGGTTTAATTGCCTCTGCAGTCTCTCTGACAGCCACACTTGGCGTATCTTTCAAAATAGGCCGTGTAAAACTCATCTTTTTCTGTCGGATGCTCTCACACAGTCTATCTGATAGGCATAGCGCTGCATTTTGCTGCGCATGCGCACTAACCTCACAACACTTTCCTATGGAGTAGGGTTTATGACATTTGGCTTTTTTTTCAGCTGCAGAAACTTGATGACGATCCTACATCGTCATCCTGTATGTTTTGAGATTCTAGAAAGAGGATTTATGTGTCGGTCACCAAAATATGGTGGCAAACTGTATTTTAGATATACCCATAATATGAGCAAACGTTGCACTTCTCTTGTCTGCTACCTTTGCAAGCTCTTCTCTAACAGAGCTCACACTATATGTGGCTGTCCAATCACAGTCTTCCCAATGCAGCTCAATGAGAAGTATTTGCAAGGTCTAGGTAATAGCCTGCCTCTTGAGTTTAGCTCCACTGAGCTAAACTGCCAGAAAATAACAGGATCTGTTTGTCTGCTTGAAAGTCAGTTGGTTGTAACAAGGTTAATTTATAAAATTGCCAGTTTCTACTGAAATCTGCACTTTTTGTCAACTAAAAAAAAAAAACAGGTCACATTCTTCACATATAAACCATTTCAGCAAGCTAAAGTGCTTCAAGGGTCCAGAGTGCCCCTTTCAGCTGACATTCTTTAGAGTATACACTTTGTGTACATGTTCAAAACAATCCATTCGTTAGTGATACAGTACCGGAACTACCTTGTTCCTGTTTTATTTCACATAGTTATGAGTCCTAAAGTGCTTCCTAGTTACAGCAATTAACAACAAAGGCTCAAAAGACTTAAAACCCTGAGGGTTCACCCTTGACTGTTGTGGGTGAAAATTTCACACCTATTTCACAATCCTTTCAATGTAGATCAAGTCTTTCCAGGTGGATTGTATTTCTAACAGATACACAAGTATGCAACTTTGGTGACACAGTAGGTAAACTTAATTGTGTTTTGGCTAAAACCTCCCATTTTTACAAAGGTTAAATAGCTGAGCAAACAGATAGAAGAAAAATACCAGTATTGTGCAATGCGTATAGAAGATAAATCTATGTCCAACTATATTGCTACTGCCTGGTAAAAACAAACTCTCTCAAAGTGCTCATGGTGCACACAACAAAGGACGAAATAAACAATAGATGCTGAAATACTAGAAATACATCAGGAGTTTGTATGGTTTTCCAAAGGCATTTAGTGTAATATATCTTCTTTTTAACTGTATGAAGACAGATGATTACTGCCAATAACATGTAATGCAAACCTATAGCCATTCTGTTAGAAAACACGAATGCACTTAACAGCTAAAAGACTTGCAAAACAGTTGGCTTAGGGACAAAACCAAGTGTACGTGCATATGTTAATTAAAAAAGAAATGCCTGTTGAAAGTCCAGCAACAAATCCTGAAATTGCAGATAGTCGTCTTATCCATGTTTTACCTTTTACGTGCTTTTCCTGGTTGCAATGGTTTTGTAAGTATTTTACACAGAATTACACAATAGATTTTGCCTTTGTTTTTAAGTACCACATTGTCATTAATTACTTGACACTTTATTTTATTTCTGTACGTAGTTTACTTATTTCATATACAAATATTTATAACATTTATGTGTGTTTTATTTGATTGCTTGTCTAGTTTTGACAATGGTTTATAAGTCATTTTATATATATACATATATATATATATATATATACACACACCAATGTTTTATTATATTATTTTACACCATTAATAAAAAAATATTTGACCAGATTTTGCCTTATGTGCTTCTAAATAAGAAAGATTTTGAGTACCATTGCAATGGCCATTAGATGGTAAACTCAAATGCCAATGTCTAGGCAAATCTCGTAAACCCTATACCAATATACTTTGCTGCTTTTGGCTTCAAGAAAAAAAATTGCTAATGAGACAGACATTGTATTAGAGATGGCATACCTGAAACCTTAAAAAGGAACACAGTGCCCTGGTGTCATCCCACAGCATGAGGTCAAACAGTTCTAGTATGGTTTGCACGCTCACAGGGGTCCTCGCTCGGTGCCCATGCCAACAGGAGAATCCAATGCTTCGAGTTAGGTAAGCTAAATGCCCTCAGCCAATGTGTGTCTTCCTGCATCAGAACTCTTTCCTCTACACAGCTACCTAGTTTCTCTTTTTCAAAAAGGAGACAGCACCTGGACAATGTAGGCACAATAATCACTACAACCGACTTGTGCTTGGAATGTTCCTTTCAAGTAAGCTCCTACATAATTTGCCACAAGCTTATTGTAAGAATCTCCCCTTTTCCTGTGAGTTTGCCACAAGTTTATGGAGGGGCCTGTTTGCCAGCCTCCTACCCTGTGACTATGGCCCCTGCAATAGACCTGGTTAAAATACTTTAAAAGGCTCTGTTCATGTGAATATGTACTTTCGTACTCCAGACAGAAAGACCGACTGTTAGCATTAATTCTCTGGAACTGTTTTGGGTATTGGACCACGTGCACGATCGGTCAAAAATAAGGCTTCCAGGAATTTCCTGAACCCCTGCTCTGATCTGGGTGATTTTTGGATATGTTGTTCACTCATATCACAGCTATCAGGGGATGTAACATATGGAGATATGTTGTGTTTTGGGGTACTTATGTGACTTTATAAAATAGGTGTTTTTTTCTGCCTGGAGATAATTGAGTTACATAATGTACTTTACTCAATTATCTCCCATGCAGAGGGGAGGGATTGTGTGTGGTGTGTGGGAGTGTCGTACATTTAATTACTGTTCTGATTGGTTTGTAAGCTTTGTGTCCCTGTCGGCGTATACCTTGCTTGGGGACTTGCATAAAAGGCCAGCTGTGGCTTCCATTAAACACACTTGTTTTACCCTTCATGAAGTCTAGGTTCATGTTTGGGGGATTGGATAACTACATACACTATGGGGATTGCTATATCACAATACTCCCCTGAGTATAATCACTAGCTCTTCTAAGAACTGTTCCTGCTAAGCTCTCTGGACTAGGAGAGGTCTACCCACTGGAAGCTGGATCATGGTCTTGGGTCCAGGGTGGGTGGAGGAATGCGATTTGTGGGGTTTACGGTGGTTATGGTGTTACAGTGTCATTCTTATGGAACTCGCAAGTACTAGGAAACAGTGATTGACGGAGGTATCCGGTCGGGGTCCGTCACACTTATAAATTGCAGATTTAACCAAATCTCAGTATCCCAGAACACATTAACAAAATCAAACTAAAAATAAAAGGTTAAGAAATAATAGTTCATCCGGTATCTGACCTGAATTGAGTTGTCGTATGATAAACTCAAACTGGCGATTCATATATGAATTTCCTTCTTTGATATAGCATTTCAAAACTTCCTGCATTCCCTGAAGGTGAGAAATACATATCACAATAGTGTACAGCAGATATACAGGGCATGCCATGTTCATAATAACCACAGAAACATTTATTTATTTCGATATGGAAGATCAAGATTTTAACTGTAACCAAGAGAGGCAGTTGGTATGGGGAGGTGCTGTCCAATTAATATGCAATATTATGATAATATATGGAAAGATCGGTATCTTGAGTGGTCTGTTAATAAATCATTTTGCGAAGTGAGATTTTACTGCTGAACACTGAACACATGGTTTCTGTATTTGGTTTTGAATGAAGCAATTCATTAATAAAGTTAATTTACATTCATCAATTGCATACAGAGTTGCTATGTGATCTGGGTGATACAAGTTATATATTCGTGAAATGGCAACAAAAGACTAAATATTGAGAATTATTTCAACACAATGAATTGCGATGAATGGAATGACTCACCATGGCTCTGGCCTCTTCACGTATGGAAGGCACCGAAAGGACGCTATAGAGAGCTCCATTAACATAGGAGCGGATCTATGATAAAAAAAAGATATGATGCTTCAGTGGAGACCACTAAATGTTTGGGAACAAAGTGTTTTTTCTCAGCATTTTTCATGCTCTGCCACCACTTTAAAATATTTATTAAATAATTATGTTTGAATTTCACTGAAATTTAAAAAGCAATCAAAAGATATCATAAGACAAAGTATGGTTTGTCCAGGTTGACAAGAATTGACAAAAGACGGAGCTTCGGCTACCAACGTTTGTCAATTCCTACAGCCACTGTTGGTGATGGCTGTGGAAAAGAGGCATCTTCTTGCGTATTGTACAACTTGTTGCAAGGAGGATCCTCCATAGACCTCTGTGTTATACTCTTGAGAATGCAACATCATCCCCAAATACCACATATAAAAGCATCTTATGAATTTAGCAGGGAAAACTATCAGTGGGATAGAAGTTGACAAGAAAAGCAAGCGCCATAGTACAATTATACTAGAAAGAATGGAACATGTGAGTGGAAAGAGACAGTACTGCAAACATCCTTATTTAACCAATATATATTTATATAGATTGGTTAAAAATGTAATCAATATACAGCATCATGAAATGTGTTTCCAATTCCGAATAAAAGAATTAATGTATCAGTTTGCTGTGTGTTGCAGTAATATCCAACACACACTTCAGAATATAGAGAGTTTGAGAGGTTAAATACACACCTCATGGTTCTCATGGCCAAGCAAGTCAGAAAGGACTCTCAGCACAAGACCTGGAGCCTTAGCACACATTTTCTTTCCTGGGAAAAAAGGACATTGCCAGTTCTTTATCTTGTGACATTAAAGAGGCAAAAGAACATGAAATATATATCAACCCATACAGACACCAACCCAAAGCCATTGACAACAGTTCATGTATTTGGATGATAAACAAATAGATATCTAAAATTCAGGAATTTCTGCCCAGCAACATCTGAGGGCGCTAAATGAGTTTCTACAGGGCTTAAAAAAAAAATAAAATAAAAAATAAATAAAAATAATAATAATAATAATAATAATAATAATAATAACAACAAAACACACACATACAAAAAAACGCATCTGTAATTTTATGAGGTGCAAAGGAAAAATCCTGTTGTAGACTTGATCATACAGTCTCTGCCAAATGTGACAAATCTATAATATGTAAAGTTAGCTGCAAATATGTGAAATTAGCAGCAACAATATTAATTAATTTGCATAACTAGCCAAAATTATAACAACATTGGCAGTATATTTACCTATACGATATTTATAATATTGTTTTGTTTTATTTTTGATGCTTATAAACTGCACCTTTGCACGCCCTCCCCTTTTTTAAAGGAAGCAGCTAACACTCTCTTCTTGAGGAAAGAGCCAAAGGCTTCTCATTCGGAAGCCTCTGAATCTGTAAGCAAGGGTGTGCTGTGAAGGAGGTAGTCTGAGGTCTGAAGATCCAAAGAGGCTGGTTTGAGGTCTGTGGGGGAGGAGGCAGGTGCACTCAAGTAGGGCACACCTGTAACTTCTGTTCGCTCAGGGGAGCTAACAGAAGAAGGCAGCAAACCTCCCAGGCTGTTTGACAGCCTTGGGGATGTTCCATAGTTAAGGGTTCAACAAATCCTAAGGGCCAGATCGCTATGGTAAATAGCAATTTTGTCCTGACCTCTGGGTATTTTTGTTGTTTCAATTAGTATTGTGCCCAATCTGGCTTCACAGAAATGAAATGATTTGTTTTATTGTGCTGCCCTTTAGATTAGTGCCTAATCTGGCATCTGAAGATAGCTTTTCTTCCCCTATTTTTTTAAGTCAGAATGTGTGCTGCTGGAAATATATGTATATCCCACTTTTGCCTTAACTTAGTTGTTTCCTTTGCTCCTAAAAACTACAATAGGTTTACTAGCTGTAGAAATCAGTGTATGTATCACAAAAAAAACACATCCAAAAAAATCCCCATTACATTAAAAGGTTTGTGCTATGGCGCAAAGAAAATATTTTGAGGTTCCACGTTGTTGGTACATTATGTCAAAGGGTTCCACGGAAAAAAATAATTGGGAACCAAAGACCTTCATGCAACAATGTGTACTATCCCACACACCTGCATTTCGAAGGCAAAGATTCATAAGCAGTGCTACTGCATACTCCACAGTGTAGTCGGAGAGAGAGTCTATATCTTCTAACTCTTGAACCAGCCAATAGATGAGGCCATCCTGGATCATGGCTGATTGCATACAGCTTCTGAAAAGAGGAAATACCAAAGTTATCTGTGGTTGTTGATTATCTGCTTTATACTGCAGGTATATTCCATTCCATAACACGCTGTCCAACTTGGTGAAACCATTACTCTAGGACTAGGTTGGAATGGTCAAAAGGTATAAAATACTGTTGTATGTGTGAATTTACATGTAGCCATACTTGCTGGAAGTCTTCACCAAACTTAAACACCACTTCAGTGGTTTATTTATTTATTAAATAAACTTTGGAAGTGTACAGAACAACTAGATCTCATATTCTCCCATCACTGTATGCATATTAACTGCATCCAATAACATTTCTTATTATTTTACAATTTTTACATTATATATAAAACCCATGGCTTGATGTAGCTCAGCTGTAATGTATTGTACATGCTGAATTCTCTGAAGATTTAGATAACTACACAAATACTTTAAATGTATGACAGCAATACCTGGATAAAAAGGATGCCCATGCTCCCATTTACCAAGGTGCAATGGTTATTTTACACAGACCTCCGAGGAGGATTTGTACACTAAAAAGGATCAAAGCAGGGAAGGCTGTGGTACCCAGTCAAGCTCTCCTTTAATATATTTTTACACCATCAGAGAAAGATAGGGCTGCAGGGAGTGTTCAGTGCTGTGCTGTTCTCCTGTACACCCCAGATATAACAAGAATACCTGGCTGTATTTGCAACTATCCCACTCTTATCTATATACCAGAATTTCTAACCATATGGAATAGTAATTGAGAGACAACTGATTTCACCAGACAAGAGAAGTTGCTCTCATAAGATTAGCCCCACCTTTCTTGTCTTATATTCAAATAACAGAATGATACATTTAGGCACAAAACTCTAGTACTCTGGACTGTCTCCTCCAATTGAGGAGTAGTCTACTCAATAAGAAATGGGACAGTCCTTATAAGAGACAGTCCTACTTAATGAGATTTAGGATAGTCCTACTCAATCAGAAAAGGGGTAGTCCTACTAAATCAGGTAAGTGATAGTCCTACTAAATCATGACCTGCTGGCCTAGCAGCTTATCTTAAGTGATTTAAGAATTACTGGTATCTGTTTTGTTCAAATGTGGTGTATAAAGATATTTCTCACATCATATTTCTCCAAATATATACTAGTTTAGTAATATTTATATATTTTTTTTCCTGTGAAAATTCATTCTAGCTTTATGCGTTTTTCTTTAGTAGGATGTGTACTAACAGTATATGATATGTGTTCAAAGTTTTATGTTAACTAGCTGTCAACAGGTGCTTGTTTATACCAGTTAGCTAGACTACCAGAGAGAAATACAGAGGTGAATAAAAATATCAACTGGTGACATAGCTTAATTGCCATTGCAATGTATCATCGTGGATATCTTCCATACCATTTAATTAGTCAATGTCTAAAAATTGATTGACATAAAAATGGCACATTTAGTGCAGTAGAAGCAGTCCTGTTTTGTCAGTATTTTATTTAATGGGGCTATAAGAAAGAAGGAAACAAAAAAAAAAAAGGAAATGGTAAAAGAGAAAACCAGATGACATTACATGGAAAAAAAACTTTTCTAGAATGCCAAGTAATTATTTTCATATTTTGTTATTTTTTGTTTGATCCTCAGACTTGGTTTAAAATAAAGTATAAAGCATAAGCAGCTGTCAGGCATATTCTTCTGGGTGTCTTAAGTTTTAGGAGTCTGTTTTGAAATAAAACCTTGAAGACATATGAAAGGGACATAACTGTTGAGCAGTTGCTCTTGAAGGGTTAGTCCAAGATCCAAGACCACTTTAGTGATCTGAAGTGGTGATGGTGCTGGGAGTCTGTATGTGCAGAATTTTGCAATGAAATGCTGCATTTAGAAAGACAAAGAGATTAACCCCTCAGCTGCTGGAGGTATACCACTTTCAACAAAGTCATTAGCCTTAGTTCTGGGACGGCTAATGTCAATTCTGTGAAAACAAAACTGGCATCTGACGCCAGTAAGCACAGCATACTGTCGCCAGACAGCCAATGATGGCACAGTCCCACCCTTCGTGCCGCCCCTGTACTTCCCTCAGTCCATCCTTCTCACCCCCTGAGTGACATCAGACAAGGAGGATCAGGCAGAGGGGAGAATTTGGACTTGGCAATGCGGGTACACTAGTAGACATATGTGCTAGAATGTAAAGAAAGCAACACCTCAAACAGTCACCTCAGTGAGAGAAAGAAAATAAAAAAACAAACCTTATTTAAAACTCAGTTAAGGACAGACAAATGTTGCAAGAAGCCAAATCACAGATAATTTTATATGCACCAGACCATCTACAAAGCCAGAAATAAGTTTCAGGACTTTTGTTCTTTGCTTTGTAACACTGGAGCCTGGTTGTAAGGAGAAGTAAAAACGTGTATATCACCACTTCCTGGGAAGGCCTAGAAAGGGGACAAGCACTACAAGAGTGCAAGGTAACACATAGGCTAATACAAACAGGTGGAATGCAGAAAAAAACAACAAGGTCTGGAGATCTGGAACTAGGACTGGAGATTCATATTAGACAGAGAACATGCCAACAATCGTATCAGGCTTAGTCTGATCAGAGAAGAATAGCAGACTAAGATGTCCAGCATTGAGTCAGATATCTGGAGGTAGAGTCCCACAGAAGAAAGGACACAGGAACAAAAAATAAAAAATTGTCAGGAGGGGAAGCAAAAAAGATTGCTAGGTTTAGTATCCTGAGAAACACAAACTCCCTATTCCACCTCATTTATTTTTTTTTTTTAAAGGGCCTGTTTCAGTGTGTCTAATAATTAGTAGTCACAGGTGGAAAGAAATTCTTAATACAGGATAAATGATAACTTAACTGGACATATTTTTAAACAATGTTATCACGCATTCAATCAGATATGTGGAACCTTAGTTATAATTCTAGGAAACCATGTAATACAGTTAAGCAATACTCAATACAGCTTGATATGTTTTCCCCCACATCTCCAGTTCAACGTTATCAGTAATTTATTACAATTCTTAAATTATCAAAACTTCAAAAGAGTTTTATTAGAGGTTTATTTATACAAGTATTTGTGCATCTATACATTTATTTTAAGCTATTTATGACAAATGCCATTATTTGAATGATTCCAACTGCAAATATGTACTTTATAACTGTGTAGCTTTAACGTAATTTATTTTTTTCCGCAACAAAACTTTGAACTTACAATTTAATTAAATATTTCTGTGTGGTCATTCCATTGAACATTAAATATTTATATGTTCAGCATTTCATCATATGATTAAAAATAGCTACATGTTTAATGAGCAGCACCTATTAACCTGGCTTCTCCCATCAAATAAATTAAATATCAATAGCAGTAACCTAAAGATTGGCTGCAGCCAACACCTATTTGCTTAAGAGCGTAAAGCCATTCCAGATTTAGTGTTAAAAGTGCAATGAGCTAGGAAAAAACAAAACATTAAGACAAAGGTTATCAATCCATACACAAAAAAATGAAGGTAAACAGAGAAAATCGGTTTCATGGATTGATCTAGAATGTACGTCATAGATTATATTTCATGTGGACATGAACATGTGCTAAAAATAAGCAGGGTTTGATTACGAAAAATTACACATTAAGGAGAGAACAAATGATGCCACAACCAGCTTCTGTTTAAAAGAATTCCTTAGGCATTTTTGCTTTAGCATCAAGCGTAAATTAGTTGTGTCCTACCTGAGGCTAAGTTTCTGAAGAGTGCCCAGAACATTTTCTCTTGTAGCAGAATCTTTCTCTTCAGATTTAAGGGAGTCTTCTAAAGTGTGCAGAAGACGAGGATTCTGGGAGAGGTAAATCCGCCCTGCAACACAAAGTGGATTTACAAAAAGCATAGTTTAGTATAGAGTATAGATGTAATTAGCAAACACATGTGGAAATATTTATTAAACTGTTCAAATTGGTGACTCCTCCCCTATTACATCTTTGCACCACTTTTCTAAAAACAACATTTGTTAAAGGTTTAATCCAAACGCCATGACCACTTCAGTGATTTGAAGTGGTCATGGTGCCTGGAATCTGTGTGAGCAGTGCTTTGTTATTAAACGTCTAATGATAAACGTCCAATGGTGGTACACCCACTCTCTGTGTCGCTACAAGTCTTTCCATTGCATTGAATGAAGGTACATTTCAGCTTTATTTAAAAAAAAAAAAAAAATTAATTAGGGAGGCGGGGGGACCAGCGCAACAAGGGTTGCTCTAACTAAAAACATTGCTTTTTGGTTGCAGTTACTCTTTAAATAGCTTGAAATATAGAGATGGTGCAGGCACTCCAAGGATCAGAAATGGCAAATTTATTGAAACCCAAAGTAACAACATTTCGACCTTACGGTCTGTGTTACAAAAAAAGCCTTAAGATTACGCCAGTATTTTATAGTTCAAACAAATATACCATTTCTGATCCTTGGAGTGCCTGAACCATCTCTATATTTCACGCTGTTGCCATTGGAACTTGGTGCTTAGTCCTGGTTTGGTTGCACCCTGGTTTAAATTGATGGGATTGAGTGCAGTTCCTTTTTGGTTTTTTTGGAAACTCTTTAAATCTCTGTCAGAAGTTTTTGGATAATACATTCTTCATCTCACAATAAACTTTAAAAATACCATTATCATTGTCGTCCCTCAAGAATTTCATATGATAACTGCGCAGACACATTAATGGAGAGTCAATGGCACTTTCATGTTTAATTTTTTGATAATTTAAAGTTATTCCATCTGTTTTTTTCCCCCCATCCATTGCGCTTTTTGCTCCCTAACAATCATTTTTGAATATACACCAATTTTTAAACGACTGTTTTCTCTGCAATATTTTTCAAAGAAAACAGCATGTGTAAAAAAAAAAAAAAAAAAAAGAAACCTCAATTTTAAATTGTTTTCTGTCTCAGATAACATATAGTGTTAAAAATATCAATGTGGATATAAGTTCATACAACACAGCCTGTTCATATCAGCAGGAAAATGTCATTCTAAAACACACACATTGATTTATCGTTTTGACAGATATGATTTATACCATAGAAAAGGCTTCCAATAGTCTCAACAGAAATCTATACATGACGGATAGTGCCTTGGCATCATAACAAATGTGTGTAATACGACATCAAGGAAAGAAAGTATTCTACATCTGGAGAAAAATCATGTTAATTTTGGTGTGAGCAACTTAGATGTGGAAATGGATTTTCAGAACTAGGTACCGATTAGCACTTTTTACATGTGTCCTGGATTTAGCATTAGGGTTAACAAAGGGGAAAATAATTAAAATACAAAGTATAGGAGTCAGTCTAAGCATCATTACCACTAAATTCTCATTGCAATAGGTAAGGCGATAGGAGTCACCTGGTGTCATCCCACAGTAAGTAGTTTAACCATTTTTGAATGGTTTGACATTTACTTGGGTCTTTTAGGCACCTCCGGTCAAGCCCCCTTCTGATATATCTGAAGGAGAGGTTTTACTTCCGCTAAAGATATATAAATAATGTCGCGATCTGTAAATAATTTATTGGCTGAGTGTGTCACATAATTAAGGCCTCACAGTTTTGTAATACCCATAATAAATTGAGCCTCTGGTCTGCTTTTTACTGTATCATGCGAGGGAATAGCAGTACTTGCTCATGTAGCTTATTTTGATATTTTCCAGAGTGCAATACTACCTCCTGTATTTCGGATAATTTGTATAATTGATAACTACATTTTGTGATCAACGTTTTGGCTTCACCTTGGGCCTTTCTAAAGAACCTGAGAAATGCCCAAAGATGGGCCGAAACGACCTCAAAATGTAATTATCAAGGTCTGCCAATTAAAACTAAATTTAGTTTTTTCTCAAAAAAAGCCTTAAGATCACGCCAATTCTTTATAGCTCAAATTAAATACACACACAAACATACTGCATCCATTATACACACACCAGATGCCCTGTGCACATATACTACATTCCCTAAACACACACTAAGTCTCCCATATCTCAGTTCTAAGTGCCTGCCAAACGGTAGTGGTATATAAAGGCGAGCAGGCCCCATGGGTGGAGTTGGGAGAAGGCCCTGTGGCCAGGTTTAGGGCAGCCCTCCCGACCACATCATCATACAAAGCTACACACATACATGCCACACACCGCCTCCCAGAATCTTTAACCCACATATATTCCAGACCAAGCACACTGCTAGTAAGAAAAAAAAGACTACTTAAGAGGGAAATAGCAAATAAGAGACAGAAAAGTTGACAAGCACGACTCTGAAGGTAGATGCAGGATAGTCAAGAAGAAATGAGGCTGAACAATCTCTTTTGCTTATGGTACCTACATTGCTTTTTATTAACCCTAAATGTTATGCATTCACCTGGAACCTGCAGATATATACACACACACACACAAAGACAGTCACTCACACGTATAGAAACAAATTATCAGAAAACTATCACATAATCACACGCACATAGATACAAACAGAGGCACACAGTCACAAAGGCTGACCCAGAGATACAAGCACAGAGAGGTAAAGTCTGTGAGGCTATATACGCAAGTTGACTCTCCACCTTCTTTGCTCCTCCTCCCCCTAATGTAGCAATGGTTCTTGAGCGTGAGGGCTTTTTATTTGACAGGAGGCTTCAGTTTGGTGCACAGTGTGTAAACATGGAGCAGGGACATGATTTTTGCCCTTTGTTCTCACCCACTTCACTCTTACAAGGTTATTCACTAAACTCAAAATTGTAACAAACTGAAATCTGAATGGCAAGATTTAGGTGCAGGAAGCTGATCTGGAAAAATTATCCAACTCTGCTATTTTAGCCTGGATTTTGCCATTCAGATTCTAATTCTCTACAATTTAATGAATAAATCCCATAATAAGCAATACCAGGGCACTGGATTCTCAGTGCTATATTAAAAAGGTGGGAGGGGAGCTTCCTAGACCTGGGTCAAGTCAGACATTAGACACCTAACAGCCTACGTGTAGACAGGGTAGTCAGGGAGCAGGATTTGGGCCCTCAAGAATACAGTTTGACACCCCTGCATTATTGCAATATATTTAATTGAAAGCACAAGCCCCCTACAAGTATTTGATCAATATATATCACTTACCATTGGCTAAGGATGCAAACGCATTTATCAGACGAGCTGTGTACTGTCTGACCACCTCATTGCTGGAGCTCAGAAGTTTCAGGACATTTCTCTTTGGGAGTCAAAAAAAAAAAAAATTACAAAAATAGTAAGAAAATGTATATGGAAGTACAATACATAACAGATTAGTCACAATTCATTTGCAATGCAAGCAGTAAACTACAAGAGAGAACACTTGAGTTTTATTTATTCTGCTTTTCAATCCACAGATTTACACAAACATTACCAAAATATAATTGTCTTTTTACAGCTGCTAACCTGTTCATTGTGACTGCAGTCCAGCAGGTCATTGCTAATGTATGCCTGGAGAATGGTGTCCCTTTGCTCTCCAGACTGGGAGCGAGTAAGACGCTGAAATTGAATTAAAATACTTGTAATCGACTATCTGAAGTAGAGTAATAACTAAATTGAGTAAAACAGGATTACAGGGAAAGCAATCTTATTTTGTAGCAGAATAGAGAGTTCATGGTATCTTTAAAGGTTTACTCCAAACACTGTGACCAATTCAGAGATTTGAAGTGGTCATGGTGCTTTAATTCTGTAAACGCTGCACATACAGAGATATATCCTTTTGCGTCCAGAGGTGTAACTCCATCACTTGCGGCGTCATTAAAGTATTAACAATTATTGTCAATAAGTAGTATTAAGCTTCACGGACAACTTGGCCTCAAAACTGTATTACAGGTAAATTTGATCTATAGTCTCCTTTTTTTTTGCCCACTTTTAAGGGTTAACCAGGACAGTAAGGGTTACTCTGGTCTAAAACAGTATTTTTTTATTAACAATCAATTAGTTTGCGATGCTACATAGACTCTTCTGATTTTCTGTAAAATGGGAAACCAGGAAATTTTCGCTAAAGAGCAGTTATAGTTATAAATCTATTTTATTGGTTTGATTTGTTTTAGTCAGTGGTGGCAAATTTCCTGGTGTAACACTACGACTCATGAAAATGCTTTGAGTTTGAGACAAGTAAAGTAATCAGATTATATCTCGGGTATTACAAATCTTCTGTATTATCTCAGATATGCAAAAAGCTGCTGCTTTGCCCATGAACTTGAAGAACAGGTTAGTAGTTCTCAATACCGGTCAATGATAAATGTTTAGGTAGGCAGCCAGCAAGTAAATTTATGACACATACTGTGTTCCTTTGAAACTTGAAATAGAAAACAGAAATCTAGGTGTTGGTGAAGATTATAATAGCATTTAGACCTCGGAGCACTGTACCTAGGGCTGGCAAACCCCTATTCCATACAGTGAAGACAATGTAGTCCAGGCACGCAGGGTATTTTTCAAACAGCAGTTTTATTTGAAAAACACGTCAAACACAGCAATGTTTCGATCCACACTCGGATCAATGTTTACATTGCAATGTCAATATCATTGCATATTAATGTTTACATTGCAGGGTTAAGACAACTTCTAGTGGCTGTCTTTCAGTATCTTCCCATAGGAAAGCACTGATTCAATGGTTCCGTTTGGGTAGGATATTATGTGCATGCGGTTCCTCCATCGGAGAGACGTCGCTGGACCAGTCCAGCGCCAAGCAACCTCGGTGCTGGAAAGAGGTAAATTAAAAAAGTGTTTTAGCCTTTTAATTACTAGATGGGCTGGCCTCGGAGGCAGGGGGATACTATTGGGTTAGGAATATTCCTAACACTAAAAGTATTCTATTAACTGCATTGAAATGCACCAGGAAGAACTGTATATATTCTGCTTAGTTTGTGGAACATGCAGGGCTAATAAAGATGATGTGTAACATCAGTGCAAGAAATAGTTATAGTTTTATATTGCAAAAGTAAAGAAAATTAAAAACCCACACACATTTTTTTTAAATAAATTAAAAAAAAGAAGTGATATTGTCTGTGCTGCTTACAGAATACTGATAGGCTCGTTAAAGAAATCTAAATATATAACTGCATATAACGGGAATTAGTAGCCCTTCATTAGTGACATAGGAATTTATTATAAATTTCTAAATCTTACCTCCCAATTTATGGAGCATTGTTCTTGCTCTGTAACATCTACTTTTTAAGGGAGATCTACTGCACCCCTGTGTAGGGTGTTTGCTTTGTTATCTGGTCCTCACATACACTGTAGATAATAGGTTCTGGACACAAAACATGTATTTAAACACAGATAAATGTAAAAATTTACATTTACAATTAAAACTTGTATAACTAATCATATGTACACACGTTATACCATTTCTCAGGTGCAAAACAAGTTTCTGCATTCGGTAGTTCTTATATCTGGTATTCCTGACACTAATGTTAAATGAACTATTTAGGTCTCCAGTCCTCCTCCGATCGCAGGAGAAAGATGAGTTTAATCACCTTTTTTTCCACACTGCGCCTAGCCACGCCTCCATGATCTCAGCCAATCCAATGCTTTCCTATAGAAAGGCATTAGGAAGCTATTCGCTGTGTCAATCAGCATCTCCTCAACTCCTCTATCAATAAATCTCTGTGAGGAACGTTCAGTTCCTCCATGCTGAGCGTGGAGATGCGGATTATACGTGCTGCATACTGTGCAGCACTGAGAAAGGAGGCATCTCTAGAGACCGTCTGAGTGACTGCCTCTAGAGGTGTTACTAGGCAGCAATGTAAACATTGCCTCTTCTCTTAAAATGCTGTGTTTACATAAAAAGCCTGTAGTTACAGGCTACAGACACAAGAACCACTACATTTAGCTGTAGTGGTTTTGGTGACCAAAGAGTCCTTTTAAGCGGTCCTCTTCATTTTTCCCCACAACTCACTATGTGTTACTGTTGCCGGTTAACACTGGATATCAATCAAAATTCCCAGTACTGTATACTAAATACTACACCAGAAAGAAAAGTAGAACAAAGCATTGCAGGCTTCTTACCCAACGCAAGGCTTGTAGGAGCAGTGCTTTATGACGATCATTACCAAATAACAGGTCCTTTTTTAGCTTTTCATAATCCAAAGAAGGCAATAAAGGTACTTCTTGCAGCTTCCTAGGACAGAGCAAAACAGATAATATGAAAGTGAAAGAAGACAATAATAAGAAGAATAAGTAGAGATACTCAGTCGTATTCACTAAAGTGAGAATGTTGGGGAATTCAAAGTGAATTTCAAATTCAAGTCCAAAACAGAAAAACTGGAAAAGTTCACCAAGTCCGCTTACAATTTGTTTTTTTTGTCCTTAAAAATGTAAAAGTCACTTTGAAATCCTGACAAGTCTCCTTTAACGAGCAGCCCTTATAGTAAGCATTCCTCCATAATAATATAAGTACAACCCATTACACTGATTTTGTAATATGACAGATCAATCAAGATGACATATGCTTTTATTTCATATTTCAACATATAAGTTAAAATAATGGAAGACTCCAGAGGATGTAAGAAGTAAGGTGATGTTGAAATGACCTATGCCATGGCAGCCAAGATTGTACATTGACATAACATGTATTCCTTTAAAATCCACAGGCTTCACAGTGTGATAAAAAAAAAGTGATAATTTCTTGAGAATCAGATGAACATAACCATGTACAATATTTCTTGTTGGGGGCCTAAGGACAAAAAAGTAGCATTGTAGGGGTTTGAGAATACCGCTTGTTATCAGAGATCTTCAAATCAGTGCTGTCAGAGGGGGTGTTGTCTCGTCTTGTAGTTGTCAGTATGCCCCTCCTGGGTGGCATCCTCCTGGAGTATTGATAACCATTCCACTTGTAGATCAGGCCCTTTTTGTAATCATCCGCATCCCTTATAAATATCCTGGTTTCAATATTTGCTTTAAGTGTCTCCATCTGTATATTTAGATCAGCGTTCAGTTTGTTCAGGTTTTCCAATGTCATGGCAGTTTTGAATTTAATTCAATTTCCACCAGTTCAGTTTTAATCTTAGTAATTTCTTTCTACAAGTAGTCTATGGTCAGGACCATAACATAACAGCAAATGAAAAGTTATTAAGTATCTGTTCAAATTGGCTGCAAAAATCAATATTGTCTGTGAAGAGGGTTGGGTGTAGTTTAATGCATAGTCCCGTGTTTCTCGTGGTTATCCCCCTCTCTAAAGTCACAGGAACAAATTGATTCAGATGTATATGCGGTATTTTCCATTTAGCACAGGAATATCGTTTTTGTTGTCTATGATTCTGTATTCACGATTAAGGCTTAATGCCGAAACGTCGTAAAAGTTTTGGTTCATCTAATCGTCAATAAATTATCACTTTTTGTAACACACTGTAAAGCATGTGGTTTATGACTTTGAATAATTATAAGGCACTGCAGATCCCTTCCAATGTGCTCCAGAAGTTGTAGCTGACACTGCTTGTTTACTTGAGTGTAACACTCCCTTTGGATTTTGATAACCAAGCATTTCTTAATTAAGCCAATATTATTTTTCTGCAACAATCTCATGTTGATAATGGCAAGGTAATAGCTTGATAAAGGCCCTATTGTGGGCCAAAACGTTGCTTTTGATCTGTTCCAATAAACCTGCTCACTGGATTTACATTGAGTGTCTGGACCATCATTTATTTTCTTTAGTACACATAGAGATATAAATAAAATAAATATAAACCTGTACTTGAAGAGAATATTCATTTTGAATTTTTTCTCCCTTAATAACATCTATTTTACATAATATTAAAAAATTTGGTTAAAAAAATTTAAAATGCTTAATGGAAATTAAAGAACACATCAGCTTATTGTAGGAATTATGGTGCCAGGAGTATCCTAAATCACCCTATTATAAGTAATCAGTTTATTTTATTTTTTTTTATTTTATTTTTTTTAAATGGGATCCACCAGATACTGCTCCCTAAGTCCAATACTTCAGACAGAGGTTCCGCCTTGCTGTCTGAGCAAAGCACAGCTGTGCAGGACTTAAATCATTGGTTAAGAGACAATGTACAATGAAGGGGCACCAGTGCACTCCTGTCATCATTACTTCTACAGCACACTGTAGTGGTTATGGTTCTTGGAGTGTTCCTTTAAAAACAGACCATACATCAACTATGCAACTGACAGAAAAAAAATAGTTTCAGTACACAGGCATCTAACTAGTGAAAAAAATAATAATTTAGTCCCTTGCTACTGTGGCTTTATTTTAAATTATTAATTTATGACAGCTGCAGAATACGTATTGTATTTTATTTGAATACCAAACTTATCACAAGTAAAGTGATATAGAAGGGTGTATGAACTGTATTAATCCAGCTGTCAAACGCAGTCCTCTAAATTTTATTTCTCCTTATCTCAGTCTAGCTGGCACGGAAAACACAACGTTGTTTCTACGTACGTGGGGGCGATTGATGCTCTCAGCATAGAAGAAGCCTGCAAAACATGAAAAATTTAAAAAAATAAAACAAACAATAAAAAAAGTAATTTTTTCACATTTCAAAGAAAATATCAGAAATCCACTGAGGTGAGCATATATTCTCTTGTGGTTAAAAAGCAACAGAGGGAATGTTCGTTATGCATGTAAATCGGTTAGGACAGAACAGTCTACTCAATAACTTGTTATAACCAGTCTTCCAAATACTGTAAGACGGAAAACCAAACAAACAATAGTGCTTTATATAGCCCTTATTATAGTTATTGTGGATCTGTCATCCATAAAATGTATGTTAGACAATATAAGCTTAAATGGATTACATAGTGTTAGGAATACAAAGTTTTATTACAAAGTTGTATTTCTCTAGTCCCCCCATTGATGACCAGCGCTGGGTTGTTGCTCTACCTCCTCCAACATCAAACAGGGGGTGGGGGAGGAACTAATGTGCATTAGGCCCTCCCCATAGGAGAGCATTGACTCCATGCTTTGCGAATAAGATTTTACCAACGCTGGATGTCCTCATGCAGAGCGTGAGGATGTCCAGCGTTGTTTAAGGGACCCAAAGTCTGGTAAACTCCCGGAAGCGCCTCTAGTGGGTGTCTGGTAGGCAGAAGCAAATTATCTATTACTTCCCACTGTCCAATGTACAGCTAGATTAGGACCCACCAATTTTAGGGTATTGCTAAACCCACCACTACTAGTCTCAACACATTGTGGTCATAGGGTAAGAACAAATAGTTGTTGTTTTTGTTCTTCCTTTCTTGATACAGGTGATGTTTAGTAGCCTTGAAAGATCTGAAACCGTGCCTTTTTCTACAATTGTCTGTGGCCACCTGCTTTGTAGTGTTTTATGTAGATGTCTGTATGCACCATGTGAAAAGCCCTGGGGTATTCACATTTCAAGTAATATCATTTTGTGGGACTAATTTTAAAAGAGGAAGTTACACAAAATACAATATGAGTTTAGCCAAGTTTGAAAACAATAATGCACATGTCGCAAATGGCATTGTGAGTGTGAAACCCCCTCCCCACAACCAAATCTTAGAAACTACATTTGAATGAAACATGGACACAGCTAATCAATAATCTGTAACTACGAGTTTGTAAAATTAAGTTGACTGAAAAAAAACACCCACAATATTAGCAAACACTTTGTCTAAGTTTGGTGATGAAATTGGCTACACAAAAAGTGTCAAATACAGTCATATTCCCTTGAGAACCAATGCATAAAAAGAAATAATCATAAAAAATACATATCTCTTCAGACTTCTTTTAAATTTATGTTCTTTGCAACCTAAATTTGATAAGAAATTGAACTGCCACTAAAGTCATAGGAAAAAAATATATGTATCTATATACATGGATCTATATCTCTTTTAATTTAAAAATCAATATATTATTATTTGTCTGTGCCACTAAATGTTAAAGAGGAAAGCTATAACTGAACAAATGTAGTAATATGAGAAAATTGCCCCTAAGGGTATATAAGAATGCTATGAACTGTAGAACTGCCATTGCTTAACAGATAAATGAATTGTATAGTTTATATTCTGACACTTAGGTCATTCTAAATATTTTTTTTTTTTTAAATTTATTCTTTATTTTTATGGTGCGTCATCCTAAATGTTGTAATATATAACAGATAAAGTAAAACCATCAGATGGAATACAAAAAATGTAATACATTAAATCAGAGGGGAATGTAATATTTTATAGGATTCCTAAACCTATAACTGCTCAGCACCATGAGGTAATATGTTATTATTCTTTTTTATTATTAGAAAGCAACCGTATCATACATATTTGCTGGATAGGTATTTATCGATAGAAAATGGTTTTACACAATCAGAAGAAAAAAAAAAAAAAAAGACAGTGGAGAAAGCAATTTAACATAAATGTGTGTGTGGATGGGTGTTCATATTAACAGGGACATAAAGGGTTCGAGAAAGTTGTGGACGTGTTAAGGAGCATGTAGTCTAGCTATACAAATAACTTGCCAATGTCATAGCAACCAAATCAAATAGATCGAAATGCACAGGTTATAAAATTAAATAACAGTTTGTATTGTTTCCCGGTGGGGTTACCCAACAAATACTAAAGAGTGGTTCTACATCAGGTAGATATACAGAGTGAGTCTACATCAGGGAGCTCTACAAAAGGTAGATCCCCAGATATTTTAAAACTACAGCTTCCATGATGCTTTGTAATTCTAAAAGCATGCAAAGCATCATGGGAGTTATAGATCTACAACATCTGGGGACCTACCTTTTGAGCACCCCCGGTCTACATGTTAAAGGACAATTTAACAGGCAGCAAGGAAGACCCTAGGTTTCTGGGCTGTCGGATTTCCAGGGGAGGTAAAGATCAGCAATAGGGGTCAAACTGTGATGATCGCTCAGGGTAAACTACATAGCATTTCCTATTGAGCTAATTTGAAGCTCTAGCTCTCCCATTTGATCATGTTCCAAAGAGAAGTGGAGGAAGGTTCAAGGATAGGACTTAGTGAGACACAATTTGTAAATATATGGGAAATATTAGGCAGTGATAAGATTATTTCAATAACTATAATAATATTCTTGTAAAGAAAAAAAAAAAAAAAGCAGAGGTTACAATACTGTTTTTATCCTTTAAATATTAGCCATAAGTTTTGGACATAAAATATTAATTACGCAAGAATTATTTGCTTAAGCAAGAAGAACTCTATATCTTTTATTTCTAATTCATTGATAAAAAAAAAAAAAAGCATCATTCAAGTTAATATTTAAACAGGATGAATTAAACACACACACCTTTTTTTTTTTTTTTTAATACTTAGTCAATATTACAGGAAAGAGAGGAATGCGCTTTATCTCATTGGCATTAGCTGGGCAATTTAAACAGTACTGCTGACGTAGTATGCATATGAAAAATATTGAATGATTATGACATGAAGATAAATAGTCTATTCTTTACATAAAGTCCTTATATAAATAGATTTTAATACTACAAATACACTCTGTATTTCAAACAAATGATCAATTAACCCCTAAGGACAGAGCTTCAGAAGCTTGTCTTTTACTTAATGACAACAGCATTTTTTGCTGTTTGCGTTCAACTGCAATTTGCATTTTACTAATTTATTGCACCGACACATATTATACACCGTTTTTTTAAAGGACAGAAAGGGCTTTAATTTGATGTAACACGCATATATATATATATATATAAATGCTTATTTATTATAAAAAAAAGTACAGAAAAATTCAAAAAAAAGGAAAATTTTTGTGTTTTTTTTTTTTACAGTTTTTGCAATAATAATGTGTGCATAATTAGTGCAGGTTAAGGAAAGTAATTAAAAATAAATTCATTTAGTTGTTCTGATTTACAGAATATATAATGTGTCTGGGATTTTAAGTTATTTTTGGTAGTTACAGGTCACAAAGCACAAGGAGTAAAATAAACTTTTTAATGTGGAGCGATTTTAGAATTTGGTATGTTTGTCTTGTAAGCTTAATAGCCATAAAAGAAAAAAAAATTGCCACACAAAAGCATATATTTATATAAAGTAGACATCACAGGCTATTTACCTAGGGTTGTTTTGACACTTTCTACGTAGCCATTTCCCCGCCAACTGCTAAATATTGGAGTAAAATTGTGTTTTTTTTGGTTTTTGGCACACAAACTTAAAAAAAAGATATTCTCATGTGTATTTTGTAAAGTTGGTGTGTGCTATTCCTGTACAAAGTTTTATTTTGTGTTCAGTTACATCTGCTGAGTAAAATGATACCCCCATTGTATGTCTTTGGCACTATTTCGTGAAGTTACAGTGCCATATAGGAGGCCTGTTCTTTTCAGTATTCACAGTAGAATTTTGACGGATTTAATGAGCCTATGCTTCCATTTGGGGTATTATAACAGTTTGACTGTTTAAAAAAGCCCACAAAGGCCTACCATTTGTAAAAGTAGACACTCCAGGGTATCTCATAAGGTGCATATTGTGCCTTAACATTCCCCCATTTTTTCACTAATATATGCTAAAGTATGTGATAAAAAATAATTTTGTGCGTTTTTTACATATGGATTGTATTTTTGCTGGGCATTTTGTATATTTCCCATGTGCCATTAAGTTCAAACCCCCCAAATTATGCTCGGCTAAGTCTTCTGAGTAAAAAGACACCCCCAATGAATGTCTTTGGCACTATTTTGTGAAGCTATAGTGCCATATAGGAGACCAAGCCATATCAGTTTTTACCGAACTTTGAATTTTGACGCTGGGCCTATGTGCAATTTCCAAGCATCTAAGCAGGGTTTAAATTCAAACTACCCCACAAAGGCCTACCATTTCTTAAAGTAGACACCCCAGGGTATTTCAAAAGGTATATTTTGAACCTTAGCGTGGGATCATTTTTCCGCTAGCTTGTACCAAATGTAGTGGTAATAAGTGTTTTTTCTGCCTTTTTGACACATAAAGTGAGTTTGCGCAGCATATTTTGCAAACCTTATCTGTGCTATGACTGTATAATACTTCATCTGTTGCTCAGCTATGTCGTCTGAGTACAGCCATACCACCGTATGTACCTTTGCCAGGTATATGTGGATGTTGAAGGGGCGCATTTGAGACGCAGCCATTCAGTTTTTTTCTAACTTTGAAGTTTTACGCTGTCCATGTTCCAATTTGGAGTAGTTTAGACGGTTGGTTATTGAAACTTCCCCACAAACACATACTATTTATTAAAGAATACACCCTGGGGTAATTCAAAAGGCACATTTTGAACCTTAGCGTGGGATCATTTTTCCTCTAATTTGTTCCAGGTGTAGTGGTAATGAGCCTTTTTAAATGTATTTTTTTACTTTTAAAAACTAGTTGCTTATTAATTTTTTTTACACTTTCCTAAACTTTCTTAAAACTTTTTTTTTTTTTTTTACACAGATTTAACATTTTTCTAAGCTTTTTTTTACCGTTAACCCCTAACTAGCAGTAAGCAGCACTAACAGTAAATTCCCCATTTTCCCATAACTCCCACCCACCCCAGCTAGTCTTCTAATCTTGAATATTATGTGTTTGCAAGTATGCGTCCAGTTAAACATCTGTACATGCTCTCATAAAACCACATCTTCAGGCAGAGAATTCCACATCCGGTGGTCGCAGCTGCGACCGGGCCTGTCTCCCCATGGGGGCCCAGCCGCTCTGCGGACCTCTGCGATTGGGTGCCTGCCGCCATGTATTTCGGCACCAGCCCGTGCAGTGTGACCGCCGGGACGCGCATTGAAGGGGCTCATCGGGTGGCCCATGCTGCAGGTAGAAAGCACTGTGCATCCTCCGGTCTGCAGCTCCACTTTCACCGCGGGCAGAGTGGCAGAACATTCAGTAGACGTCAGCGAGCTCGGCCAATCACAGAGCGTTTCTGCGGGTTACCACGGTAACGCTCTGAGACTTCACGTGCCAGAGCTCTATGGTAGCACATTCAAATTGCTTAAATGGACTATAGTTACCTTTTTTATTTGGGGCAAACGTATTTGCAGTAGTTGAGAAATACTAAGATTTTTTTTTTTGGAGAGGTAGGTGGTAAGCCAAAAAAATATGGGAACACATCTGTGTCTCTTTAATTCTGCAATCGCTTTCAGTTTTGAAAAGCCCCTCATTGGTAACTGATTGGACAAGCCTACTTGAGGCATGATGTTGAAAATATGGGGCTGGTTTGAAATCTGTGTGGTTTCAGCAGGTTTTGCACATGCATAGCCTTCTTTAAAGGAGCACTATAGGGTCAGGAACACAAACATGTATTGCTGCCCTAAAGTGTTAAAACCACTATCTAGCCCCCTTCGCCCCCTTTGCCTCCCTTAAGATAGTAAAATCTTACTTGTATTCAAGTCTGAAGCTGCTTCCTCTGCCTGTGAACTTCCTCTGACATAATCAGAAGTGGTTGCCTGATCCAATCACAATGCTTCCCCATAGAATTGGCTGAGACTGACAAGGAGGCAGATCAGGGGCAGAACCTGCACAATTCAAACACAGCCCTGGCCAATCAGCATCTCATCATAGAGATAAATTCCCAAATATCCTGGCTTGCGACTCTACCAGCTTTACATCCATTGGCATTCACCTTCAAACATAAGCATGCTAAATGGCTTGTTAGCAAAAAAACTGCCAAACAGAGCTGAAGTGGAATTACATGGACCTCTTGCAGAGAAGGTATGACACAAAAAACAATCCTGGGGAGAAAATGCCAGTCCAGAGACAATCATTCTGTAATGAAGTGCCAATTTGCACGCAGTGTCCTAAATAAGCACCTTGACTACTCAAAACACGTCAGTTTTCTATCTTGAGCTGTTTGATCTGACTGGTAATGCCATGTGTGCCGTAATGATAATAAGGTTCCAGGCTTACTATAAATCCTGCTTTCAATTTTAAGAATGAAAACTTTATAAAGTGTAAATATATAGTCATTTCTTGTGGTGCTACGTGGTAGTACAAATAAAGTTTCTTATGACCGAGCCACTAAGATTAAATTCAGGGTAATGTAATCTGGCAGAGCCATAACAGGTTCCAGCGACCTATTGTGTACTGTGAATAAGAGACAGTGATTAAGCAACAGACTGCATTTCAAACATGAATACATTTAAAGTGCACTGCCTCATAAAGTGATGGTGAAGTAGGTAAATTAGCCATCCAACCTCTGTCTTTTACGGTGTGAAACTGTAAGATGTGGTATGAATAACAGGTTTACCTGCTGAATCCCTGCCAAACGTAAACAAAGAGGGTGAATTGGCAGGTAAAAAACATTTTAGTATCAAACCTGTTCTGTTTAATCATGTGTGACCCACAGGCTGACTCCATTGTTTCATAGAAACAATTTATGGCCAACACAAAAGAAAGATTTGTCTGAAAGATGACAAAGAAAGCGGATCGGGCTACTAAAGTTTCCAGGTGTTGCCCAATAATTAGATATTTTACAAAAAAGAGATACATCAGTAAAGCATACTGGGTGAGACTACTAGAATGCCCATAATCAAAACATCACCATGCAAATAAAATAATAAACTTCGTTTTTTTGCTTAAAATACCAAATAAATCAAACGTTACAATTGCAGCCCATGAGGATCTCACCAAAGGTAATGTAAAACTAGGCTTTTTTTCACGCTATGAGCAAGTACCAGTATTTTTTCCTTTAATATTAGCATTCTTTGTACACGACCTAGAGCAGGCATACCTTCGGCATGCCAGATGTTTTGGACTACACCTCTCATGATGCTTTGCAAGCATTATGGGTGTAAGAGCAATATGGGGGATGTAGTCCACAACATCTGGAGTGCCGAAGGTTGCCTATCCCTGACCTAGAGTCTAGACCTATAAACATACTCTGTGCTAAGCATTTAAAAAAAAAAAAAAAAAAACTTTATATTAAGTCATGAAAATGTGCTGCTCTTTGTACACTGTGCATTCCTACTGCCAAATATACATAAATAATAAAATGTAAAAAGTTTTAAAAATATGCTGTCAATCACCAGGGCTTTGGTGTTACTTCCATGAACTCTGCCTATACAATGAAACATTTGTTGTGCATCATGTACAACAAAAAACATTTTATAAAAAACTTTTTACCCACTTTTGCAAGGGAGAGGCAAAAAAGGTGTAGTTATGACACAAAATGAATTATTTATTTAAAAAAACAAAAACAGGGACCTGACTGCCAAGCCGGACAGTCGCATCCTGTGTGAGCTCAGGCACTTAAAGGACCACTATAGTGCCAGGAAAACATACTCGTTTTCCTGGCACTATAGTGCCCTGAGGGTGCTCTAGGGGGGTGGAAGGGGTTAAATTTACCTCTTTCTCCAGCGCCTGGCGGGGGACTCTCCTCCTCGGCTGAATGCGCATGCGTGGCACGAGCCGCGCGCGCATTCAGCCAGTCCATAGGAAAGCATTCTCAATGCTTTCCTATAGACGCTGGCGTCTTTTCACTATGCAAATCACAGTGAGAAGCGCGGAAGCGCCTCTAGCGGCTGTGAATGAGACGGCCACTAGAGGCTGGATTAACCCTATTATAAACATAGCAGTTTCTCTGAAACTGCTATGTTTATAGAAAAAAAGGTTAAACCTAGCTGGACCTGGCACCCAGACCACTTCATTAAGCTGAAGTGGTCTGGGTGCCTATAGTGGTCCTTTAAGCAGTGGCGTACATATAGAGAGAAAAGGCAGTGTTTACATTGCCTGTAGGGACACCTCCAAGTGGCCACTCCTTAGATGGCCACTGGAGGTGCTTCCTGGGTCAGTGCTGCCGAAAAAGCAGCCCTGACGTTCAGTGTACCCGCGCTCTGCATGGAGATGCTCAATTTTCCTCAGAGATTGATTGTGCTATGAAACTGCTATGTTTACATTGCAGGGTTAATACAGCCTTTAGTGGCTGTCTTCCTGACAGCTGCTAGAGGCACTTCTGCGACGCTGGATGCGAAAATCGCATTCAGCGTGCAGAACGTCCATAGGAAATCATTGAGAAATGCTCTCCTATTGACTGTTTGAATGCGGAGTGCTGAGCTCATTTGTAGCCCAAAGCTGAGAGAGGGCAGTTCCAGGTATCAATACCTAGGATTTTCCAGTAACCAGCAGAGAAATGATCGTTACTGGTAAAGATCTGGATGATGGAATTATTCTGTCATTGGTTTTTAAGAGGCTAGAATTCCTCTTTAACAAGATTGTAATTACCAAAACAAGTGTTTAACATAAGGTACAGGACCCTTTTCCAACTATTTAATAATGATAATTATGCTGCTACAAAGTGTTAAAGAGTGTTATTGTGATCATATCAAAATTGTTAAATGTCTCATAGACAGCATTTAGCATGATAATAAACACTGAATATGCTGTAATTTTCATACACGTTCTTTCTTATTTTAAAAAATGTCTCTCTCATTTTGAGAACATTAGAATAGGTGTAGTATGTAGTAGAGGATGATGTCAATGCATGACCATAAACGACATGCATCAGACAATGAAGCGTCTTCGGCTTAAAGGAAAACTGTCCCTTCTCAGGAATTTACTGCATTTTATCTCTTTTTAAATGTGATCACTGATACCATCCTGATAGATATACTAATTATTAGCAATCCTCTACATTTCAACACCGATTAATTAAATATATATGATGCAATCATATTTACCCAAGAGAAGCTGGGTAAATGAACTAAAGGATAAATCTGCTGCTGCAAATTCATGTTCCAAAAAAACCCAACAAAAAAAAATGTTTCATTCAATTCTTTTTCAGAGGGCATCTTAAACATTCATTGCTACACAAATCATAAGTGCTGACAAAAGCTCACTGTACCAGAGGAATTGTCAATTTAATAAAAGACTATTGTATTGTATTTAAATCTGACATACAATTAATACAAGCCAGCAATATTTTTCTAGCTAGTTATAGAGAACTACAAAAGCGAAAGGCTATCAATTCTCAAGGGTCAGTCACATGATAAAGTATGTGTTCCTTTAAATTAAACTATTCATCTGATAACATGTGCATGGAGGGAAAAAATAATAATTCTGTGGATAAATCTGCATTGACTGTTCAACTCCAACATATTCTCATGATGTGACTTGTACAGAACGTCTTTCATGATAAAATGAGACGCCTACTGGAACAGAGAATCATGGCCTGACACTCATATCCTTTCTGTCCATGGAATGCACTGCCCGCAGGCAGCGGCAGGCAGCGGCTAGTGAACAGACACACTGGGAAAGTAGAACTTCATCTGGGATGCAGGTCCATGGCCTATAGAGAGCCTACAGGAGGAATTCATTTATTTTCAGACACTAGAAACATTTCAGTGAGATGGAGCAGTTAGTGTCTACAGTGTCCCTTTAAGGATATAAAAGAGCAGTAACAAAGAGACTCTAAACCCTGTTATGTTGCCAGAATATAGGTAAAATATTAAGCTGAGGTTGTCTGGGGCTGTCAGTGTTCCAAACAGATAGGTCAACTGCAGCCTGACCTCTAACAGTTTAGTTACCATTGCATCCAAGCAAGGAAGCCTTCCATATAGACTGTATAAAAAAAAACTGTACAGTGGGGCAGGGTTTGGCAGTCATGCCGAATAGAAGAAGGCAGTAAGACGTGTTTTCAAGCTATTTTAACAAACATTTTTGTATTTTAGCCCCAATCTTAACCTAGGCTGAATGGAACTCGGAGATGGAATCTTACCTTCTGTCTGGGCCTTCATATGACTTGCAGAACCCAGGGCCTAGCTGGCTAGGCTGACAGGAGAAACATTAAATGTCCTGCTTGATTTCAGTACTTGTTGCTGCACAGATATATCCATAGTTCCCATACCCCCGCCCCTCACGGATCGTCAAGGGTTATCTCGGTCCTCACTATTGTGAACTTCAAGCCTATACAGCTCAGTTAAAAAATTAGAGAGTGTACAGAGTGTTGTAGAAAATGGCTGTGTTTTGTATCACAGAAGAGTCAGTAAGGAGTTGGAACACTGAAGAGACACTTGACAGCTTGTCGCATTCACTATGATATGTGCATTTTTCTGGGCAAGAATATGCATAGAGAAAACGTATTTCCTTAGCCACCCACCCATTAGGCCACCCACTCATTCCGCTCAGAGACCTAACCAAGCAACATTATGTTTATTTTTGTTTATCTTTAAAAAAACAAAAAAAACAAAGAGCATATGATTCAATGCTCAAATCTTCCTGTATACAATGGCACTAATAATGGTGTTCTATGTACTATACACTTAATTTGAAAAATATGGACATCACAAACTACTTTTAAATCTCGCAAGTGCTCTGAAACAGTCAGCTGAAGAGGAACAAGATGTAAATCAGTTTAAACTTTGATGGTGCAATGAGCATGCATGCATGTGTACAACACCATGAAGGGAATACTCAAGTATGCATGCACACGTGCTATTCCAGAAAGAGATGTCCCATTCTGTAGGCATGGGGAAAATAAACAGAGGATCGAGGCAACAGGATCTGGAAGCGATGCAAAGCTTATAGTTACAGTATTACAGCTATCACTGCCTCACTTAAATGAAAAGATATCTGTTCAGCAATTTTATGAAGATCAATCTTAATGACCATAATAAATGTTAAACTAATACAAATATATTTATTAAAGAAACACGCTGGGCACCATTACTACTTCATCTGTATTACCGGTCAGTGTTAAACGGTTTCACTTCAGTGAGGTAGCAAAATATATAACGGGCAATAATGTATGCGATGTAATCTCACGTTGCAATTTCAAATAGGCACGATAACAAAATAAATTAAATACGTTTTTCTTATTTAAAAGATACATTTAAAATATATTGATTCTGCTTTGATATATGCAGCCACTTAAGCCACATGCATTCTATGAAGTAAAAATTGCAGCAGTAAGACAGAATGGACAAAAATAAAAATACATAACTTTCTCTCAATGTTTTTATATAAAACCCATATACATCTCCTGGGTACAGCAATACAGTACATATTTTTTTGGAAGTTGGAGAGAAGAACATGGTTCATGTACATGACAGTTTCCAGAATTTTATTTGCTCACTTAAAGGACCACTATAGTGAAGGAAAACAAACTTGTTTTCCTGGCACTATAGGGTCTTTAGGTCCCCTCGGCACTGGGGAACGCTCCTTCCTCTTCAGACGTCAGCGCCGAATTTGCATGCATTCAATCGGTCCAACACAAAGCATTTCTCAATGCTCTCCTATGGACGTCAGCGTCTTCTCGCTGTGCTTTTCACAGTGAAAAGCGCAGAAGCGCCTTTCAATGAGACAGCCACTAGAGGCTGGATTAACCCTAGTGTAAACATAGCAGTTTCTCTGAAACTGCTATGTTTACAGCTGCAGGGTTAACCCTAGATGGACCTGACACCCAGACCACTTCATTGAGCTGAAGTGGTCTGGGTGCCTATAGTGGTCCTTTAAGACACAAAATAGGATTCATATATGTAAAAACTGTATACCTGGTGTTTCATTCACAGAATGTTCAACAATTGACAATTAATTTAGCAATTTTGCATAGAAAGTGAATTGGGGTTATGCTCAGCATTGACAACACTAATGTTATGGTGGTGGACAGATAATTTGTACACAGATTAAGCAGCCACAAACTAATTAGATTTACATTGTAAGCATTCAGGATCCCTCAGATCTCGTCTTCATGCATGTTAAGGTGTGGTTAAGCAAAGAAAAGCAACACAGTTTCCTTGTTTTAGAGGTGCCCAAAAGGGAAACTACAACTTCTATTGCAGTTAGCTATTCTAACGGTTAGTGCATCATGGAAGCTGAAGTTCTACAATATCTGACAATCTTCCTTTGGGCCACTACATGCCCTCCACAAGGGGTAGTCAATCTTTTATTACCTACCGCCCACTTATGTGTCTTTTTTGATGGTAAGATTTCCTTACAGCTGACCGGTGCCGCATTGACTCAATTTTGTAGATCAAGTGCGAAACCTTTTTTTAAAAAGGATGGTTTCTTAAAAAATATGTATGTAAATGTATCTTTTTACTTCTTGTTTGAAACATGGGTTCTAAATTTGTTGCACAATTTAATAACTGCTTTTACTCTTACCAAGTTCTGCCCCCCACTCCACTGCCAACATCGCTTTATTTTTATTTTATTTTTATTGCAAACACCAACAACGCTGTATTAGGTGGACATTTTTATTATGTGTCACCATAAAAAGACATTCCCCTTTTCTATTTTTTTTTCCTTTTTCTATTCTCTTTTTTTCCTTTCTTTATTTTTTTTTCTTCCTTCTTATCTTTTCTTCATCCTTATTGCAATCACCAACAGGAAGGCTCAACTAGATAGCCCACTTTATTATTATTAAAAAAAAAAATGAAATGAATATATATATCAGGGGTCTCTTTTTCCTTTCACTTTATTCTCTCCTTTACTTATTTTTCTTTTCCTTCTTTCTTTTATTTTATGTTAAGTAAACCATGTAAACAGATATAACAGAACTTAGTTGGTCAATGGAAAATAACAGAACTTAGTTTGCCAAAGTTCAATATCAGCCACTCTAAATTCCACACTTCTTTCTGTCCCTGCTTTCACATCATGTGCATAAGCTCCCCTCCTCTTCTGACATGTTACATCATCACGCCCTCGTCTGTCCCGAACAGGAGTGCAGCCGCACGTGCCCTTCCTTTTAGCCATCGAGAGAGATTTAGTAAACAGAGGAGTTCATGCAATGCAGATTGGACATTTTTGTGAGAACTCTCTCAATGGCTGGAGGCCGGCACGAGCCTGAGCGGAGCATGTGGTTGTGGGGGACAACCAAGGGTTGTGGATAAAACCCACCACCACCCACCAAGTGGGCAGTAGTGACCAGGTTGACTATCACTGCCCTACACGATTATTAGGTTCCCCCATGTTATTGCTCTTTACCTATACCATCAAATCCAGAAAAAGTGAATTATTGCATGCTGCAACACCATTCACAAAGGACAATTTACATGCAGATTTCTGACCAAAGACTGGCAGTCTTGAATAATTTCTTGGTATGGAAAATTTTATAAGACAAAAGGCACTTTAGGATGTCAATGGTCAATGATTGGATTTTAACCAGTGCTCTTAAGACCAGGCTGATGGGATGGAATACTGGATGGTAGCAGGATGCAGCAAGCAAAGGATGCAGATACATCACCACTTACATTTTCTGCATTGCACGGGCTTACACTGTGGCATCCCTGCATTGGGACACAGGTACACCAGGAAATAAAAATAAAGAACAGAGGTTAGGCAAACTTAAATAGAGAAAATAAATAACAGGGGGGGAGGATTAATGAATAAAAACAGTACAGCAAAAACAACATTGTGTCTCCAGTCTGTAACCCTTTGTTACAGGTTGGTGGCAGGATAAATACATACAATCATGGAAAAAAGATGGTTTTACATATCAGGGTATGGTAACAATCATCTGCTCTTTTACAGGTCTTGATTAAGAAAATTCAATGTCAGATGAAGAACTACAACACATGACCTATTACACCGCGTCATGATTTAAACAAAAAAAACAAAAAAGCCATGTGTGAAAACTAAATACACCTTATGATTCAATAGCTTGTAGAACTACCTTAAGCAGCCATAACTTGAAGTAATTGTTTTCTGTATAAATTTATCAGTCTCACGATGTTGTGGAGAAATTTTGGCACATTCTTCTTTACAATGTTGTTTCAGTTTATAGAGGTTCGCTGGCATTTGTTTATGCACAGCTCTCTAAAGGTTCTGCAACAGCATTTCAATCGGGTTGAGGTCTAAATTTTGAATGGGTCATTGCAACACCTTGATTCTTTTCTTTTTCAGCCATTCTGTTGTAGATTTGCTTGTGTGCTTGGGGTCTTTGTCCTGTTGCGTGATACAATTTTGACCAAGCTTTAGCTGTCAATGATCTCACATTTGAGTCTAGAATACTTTGAGTCGAGCCTGAACTCTTCTGTGTACCAATGACTGCAAAGTTCCAGGTCTTGTGGCTGCAAAACAAGCCCAAATCATCACCCCCTCCATTACTGTGCTTGATAAGAGGTGTTTGGCTTTCGCACTGTGGATTATGGCCAAACATCTCCATTTTGATCTCATTTGTCCAAAGGACATTGTTCCAAAAGTCCAGTGGTTTGTTCAAATGCAACTTTGTAAACTTAAGCCGTGCTGCCATGTTCTTGTTAGAGAGAAGAGGCTTTCTCCTGGCAACCCTTTCCTAACAAACCATACTTGTTCAGTCTTTTTATAATTATATGGTCATTAATTTTAACATTTAACATGTTAACTGAGGCCTGTAGAGTCTGAAATGTAACTCTTGGGTTTTTTGCAATTTCTCTCAGCATTGCATAGAACCTTGAGGTGAATTTTCTGGGACAAGAGAGAGGGATAGTGTACCAAAAAAGGGAGGCTGGGATATGTAACAAATGTACAGGTACAGGCAAATATAATGTGTGATGCAAAAATGCGAGAAACTCAAATAAAGATAAGAAGAAAAAATATATCTAATAAGTCCTAAATAGGAAAATATTCGATCTAGATATATGATCGTTACCATGTGGGGTAAGTGATTATGATAACTAATAGGTTGATTTTCCTATTAAATGATCAAATAAAATTGTATCACAGATATCATGAGAGTATAAAGGGCACAAGTCTATGCTGAATATATTACTCAATAGATATGTGCCTGGGAATAGTAGATCCTGTTGGGATCGGTATAAAGTCGCTATTAAGGCATGAACTCACAGCAAATCACAGCCCTAAAAAATGCTTACTGCCTATAACAAATTAGTTAGATAAAGAGGTGATATCACTAGCAAAAGTAGGATACAGTTTCGGCCAAGTTCCACAATGGACTCCAACTCCCATGAGTGGCAGACATAGGTCTATTAACCCCTTCAGGACAAAGTCAATAGTACACGTTCTGATCAAATCAAAATGTAAACAAAAACAGGAATTTGCACTATATGCCTGTCCAACCGTAATTCACCTCTTTCATATTAAGTGCACCCACACTTATTATATATCATTTTGTTAAGGAGAGACAGGGCTTTAATTTCTCATGAACTATTCATATATGAAACATAATTTATTATGAATAAAATGAAAAAAACTGTGAGAAATTAAGATTATTAAAAAACATTGTGGTTCCGCCTGACATGTTAGCTGTAAATGTCATAATACTGTTAGCTTTTACTGCAATAAAATGCACATATTTGTATTCAGCAAATTCTCACAAGTACAACAGTAACCACCATTAACAGGTTTTATGGTGTTTTGGAAAGTTACAGGGTCAAATATAACACATTCCATTTTTCAGTTTAAAAAAAAATTAAAAATTGCCAGACTTGTTATGTTATATTTGAGACCGTGTGGTAGCCCAAGAATGAGAATTACCCCCATGATGGCATACTATTTGCAAAAGTAGACAACCCAAGGTATTGCAAGTGGGGTATGTCCAGTCTTTTTTTAGTAGCCACATAGTCACAAATACTGGTCAAAGTTAGCGTTCATATTTATTTTTGTGTGACAAAAGAAAAAAAATAATATTTGGCCAGTGTTTGTGACTAAGTGGCAACTAAACACATGGCGGCAACACATGGCGGCGGGGTCGCAACACATGGCGGCGGGCACCTGGTCACAGAGGCGCGCAGGGCTGCGACCCCTGCGACCGCGGTATGTACGCCAGCGCATGCAGATGCACACACACTTAAAGGACCACTACAGACACCCAGATCACATCAGCTCAATGAAGTGGTCTGGGTGCCAGGTCCCTCTAGTTTTAACTCTGCAGCTGAAAACATAGCAGTTTCAGAGAAACTGCTATGTTTCACTGAGGGTTAATCCAGCCTCTAGTGGCTGTCTCACTGACAGCCGCTAGAGACGCTTCCGCAATTCTCACTGTGAAAATCATAGTGAGAAGACGCTGGACGTCCATAAGAAAGCATTGAGTAATGGTTTCCTATGGGTGGTTTGAATGCGCGCATGGCGCACATGCGGAGCTGAAAGGCGGATCGGGGCGGAGAGGTCCCCAGCGCCAAGGAAGTCCGACGCTGGAGAAAGATAAATGCTGAAGGGGTTTTAAACACACACACTCTCACGAACAGACGCATACACACTAGCTAACAGACACACTCATTTACTGACAGAGACACACTCAGTGACATACATACTCACTGACAAACACTAACAGACACACAAACACTCAGTAACAGAAACACACAGTAACACACTCACTGACACACAAACTAACACTTACGGACACACATACTGACACTAGCAGACACACACTCAATAACAGACACACACTCAATAACAGACACACAAACTAACACACTCACTAGCAGACACACACACAGCAACACACACTGACAAAAACTAACACACACTCTAACACAAACACATGTTTTTTTTTTGTTTGTTTTTTTAAATTTAATCCCCCAGCCTCCTTACCTTTGGGAGAGCTGAGGAGATTCCCTGGGGTCCAGTGGTGCTGCTGGGAGGCCGGTCACCGGGCAGGGCGCGCGAGGGAGCACTCTCCCCTGAGCGCTCTCTGCCCAGCTCCCTCGTGCACCGCTTACTGATGCCGGAGCCGGAATATGAAGCCATATTCCGGCTCCGGCATCAGTGCGGTGCGCACGAGGGAGCTGGGCAGAGAACGCTCAGGGGAGAGTGCTCCCTCGCGCCCCCAGGTCCACCCGCCCGGTGACAGCAGGGACAGCCTCAGGGGGCTCCTGGGGCCCTCTGACGTACACACTGGCGTACATACCGGGTCGCAGGGCGGCCAGGCCCCCTGGTGGGCCGGGCCCGGTCGCAGCCGCGACCCCGGTATGTACGCCACTGCTTGGGTTGTCTACTTTTACAAATGGTATGCCATCGTGGAAGTAATTCTCATTCCTGGGCTACCATTTGGTCCCAAAGGCAACATTACCAAACTGGCAAATCTCAATGTGAAAAAAATGTAATGCAAACCTTATATCTGACTCCCTAACTTTCCAAAACACCATAAAACCTGTACATGGGGGGTACTGTTTTACTTGGGAGACTTCACTGAACACAAACATTAATGTTTCAATACAGTAAAACTTATTACAACAATAATATCGTCAGTAAAAGTGCCGTTCGTGTGTGAAAAATGCAAAAAACGTCACTTTTACTGAAAATATCATCATTGTAATACAATTTATCATTTTGAAACACTAATATTTGTGTTCAGCAAAGTATCCGGAGTAAAACAGTACCCCCATGTACAGTTACAATTTAAATATAGTACTTGCAAATTAAATTCTCTCCACTTTCTGCCAGGGTTGTCAGGCACATCAATCAAATTTTAATTAATAAAATCACATAATTATGTTAAAAGATTACTTAAATATATATGTAGAATTTTAATATATACATACAGTCCAATTGAGTAGACTATTTGTTGCTGTGGTTTTACGGTAAAGTTCAGTTTCGATTAGGCCATCATCTGAGATTTTGATATCCAAGTCAAGGAATACCAGATGTTCGAAACAGAACTTTACCGTAACACCACAGCAACAAATAGTCTACTCAATTAGACTAGCCATCATCCAGTTAAACTGAAATCAGGCATTCCTTATGACCAGTACTTGAGAGCCAGACGTAACTGCTCCAAAGACTAAACCTTCCATCAAATAGCAAAAAAACGAAGAATAATGTTCAAACAAAAAGGGTACCCTAACAAAATCTTAAAAAGGGCCTACCAACAAGTAACATTACAAGATAGAAGCACGACTCAAGGCTGACTCTAAACTGATTCGCTGTGTAGAGACTTTTGACCAATATTGGGAACCAATACTGAAAATCATGTCCCACAATTGGCCAATGATAACAATCTGAAAGATAACATCGGTGAATTCCCTAATATCACAGCACGCAGAGCTAAAAACCTGAGCGATTACCTTGTACGGAGCCACATTGAACCTATGAAAGGAAATCCAACTTGGTTAGTATCAACAACTGGAATCTATCAGTGTGGACACTGCAAAGCTTGTAAATATATTAAACCATCCAAGACAGTCATAAACACAAAAACCACAAAAAAATACAAGAGCAATTAATGCATCAATTGCAATTCTACAAAAGTCATTTACCTGATAATATGCAGCTGTGGTACCCAACACATAGGCAAAACCTACCAGCAACTGAGAAGAAGGATCCTACAACATATATGTTCACGAACCCAAATATATCCACTCCAGTGTCTAACCATATCAGACACCATCATGGGGGTGATCCCACTAATTTCACATTTCAGGCATTAGAAAAATTAACTATGAACTCCAGAAAGGGCAACTTCAACAAAATGTTATTAATGAGTCACGATGGATCTATCACTTCAAAACTCTTACCCCAGACGGTCTTAAGGAGTAATTTAAACTCACATCCTTCATTCATCAATAACATTTCTCTCCTTCTCTATTGTAGTAAGAGTGCCCATAAGCCTTACTCTCCCTCATGTATTACCCCCATGCCTACATTACGCAACAGATATACATCTGTAGTTATTAAGAAGCTACGTCTCACTTTCTTAGCATCTAATTATTATTCCAGACACGTTCCAGTCCCTTACTGTAATTTTCCTTGTACATAGGTCAAAGATTTTACCTAACTTCCATTGTAACTAATAATTATAACTATGAAGATTTATTTAATTCACTGTACTCATATAAGTGATATACACTCTGATTAGAATTCTTGTTAATTGTACTTAGTTGATACTTTAGTTACAAAATACAATACCCAGCTTATGGATGTCACATGGTCTTAACATAACCTTGGCTATTCTGCTACAATTATGTTCAGTTTGTCCACCATATTTCTACCCAAACAAACATCAATTTTATGGGCTTATCTTTTACTTTATTTCCTTTAATCCATTTTTAATTATCATTAAAAAAACAACCCATCCACAAGTCTGTATCTTAATAAACTATCACATGTAATGAGACTAACTCTACTACATTGTATTTCAATATTTGTAACACACTTAAATTAGCATTTTTGTCTTACTTTATATGATATGATACATTAATATCTCTGTCTCTTCACGAATCTGGACATAATGCTAGTACTGTATGCAGCCTGGATGCCATATCTGATATGTCTATCTAGAGACTATATACCTCTAGTAATAATCACCTAATGTGTCATATATATATATATTGGATGTATTATGTATTTGCATTTTATTTTCTGAAGCTATTTTCTTCCTCACCATAACTTTCTTATCACTATTTAGGCTGGGGGTGTAGGCACTATATCTTTAACTTGCTTGCATGCAAAATTACCAGGTTGCTATAACAACTTGGTACACACTGTTTCAATATGTGTGTCACTTCCTGATACCGGCATCATGTCTTCCGTTGCCGCGGCAACGCGTGACATCATCACGTCACGTGGGGGCGTGGCCTCGCTCGCACATGCGCACGGGACACGGGGGGAAGGGCGCCAGGGGTACCACTCCCACTATCCTCAGCGCCTGGGGTAAGTCATTTCATCACTAATTTCACTAATATTTATGATATTTAAATGCACTGTTTTATTATTCTGTTTATGCCTGATCCTGATGAAAGTCCCTGCTGGGACTGAAACGTTGATCTTTTAATGGATACTTAATAAATTATTTTTTAATTTTTGAAAATCCGAGAGTGCTGATCACTATTTGAATCTATTTGAATATATATATTATATATACATACATATATACATACACACACACACACACACACACACACACACCATATAAACTGTACACGATTGCAGTCCACATCTTGCAATTTCTTTATAATAATTTAGCCTTATTTTTAACATCAGGTTTCCAATTACAATTTTACTATTTGGATTCCCAGTCTGACTTTTTCTGTTTTATACTATTACTATGTATTCTTTACTAGTTAAAAACTGTAAGGGTTAATTCCCGCAAGAATTATGTTGGAAAGGAGGAGCCTCTCTGCATATAGAGAGGCATTAAAAACCAACCAATGAGAAACACTTACCTCTAGCCAATTAGAATCTTCCTCCTCCTTTTTAAACTCCATGCAGTATATTGGCCGATTCCCCTCTGATAAATACGTGGTTCTTTATCATATGTGACAACATCAAGACTTAACTCTATGTTCACCTTACCATAGACTCTGTATCTAGAATTACCTTAGGAATAGCTTAAGGTGCCCCCAAAGACACAGGGTGGGAGTTTAGCACGGCTATTTTTTCAGTGCATTATCACCCCTGCATACCTTACTACCTTTATCGATGATCGTGTATCTATTACTAATATGGGTATAGCTTTAGGTGCCCTCGAAGGCACGAGGGAGGAAGTGTAGCATGGCTTATCTATTTCTCTAGTGCAGGACTACTCCTTTATAGACCTCTCTACTTATTTGACAAGTGTTAGAGGTCTGGTTGTTATACTAAGGCGTTTTCATTTGCAGCCTATTATTTTTGATTATCACTGTGCCATTTCTCTCGGCAGATTTAAATCAAAGACACTTCCACACGGACAGCATACCATAGCCTTACATCTATTTCTGTTAGAAATAGGAGTGGTGTTCCAGGTTTAGACCGATTTGAATCCATGGTTTACCATATCAAGTGAGACCCTATTAGGTTGTTTATATATCCTTTAACACCTTTCCTTTTGGCACTATCCCCAAGCATTTATCACATTTGTACAAAAAACACTAATCACCAATTAGAGGAACAAACACACAAACAGGTATACAAATACCTAATTAGTTCCAAACTGTAGAACAAATAGGACTCCTCCCAGTCCTCGTAATATAATGGAAACAAAAAAGATCTACAGAACAGAAAAAATAAAAACTCATAGAGTAGTAAAGCCAAAATACATCAAATCCCTGCTAGTTTGATTACACTCACAGGCATAAATTGATAGTAGGCATATCTCAATACTGGAGCACTGGATAGAAGGGAATCCTCAGTACGAACTCATGGACATGTAGGAGAGAAAATAGACCGCAAATAAGTGTAGATTATAAGTAATATTAACCCTGCACTGTAATCAGTTACACTTACAAGTTAATAATGATATAAAGGCCTATTTTGTTTATTCACCATCAACTGAAGGAGGATGGCTGTGGGGGATATTTCATGATATGCCTTTATATCATTATTAACTTGTAAGTGTAACTGATTACAGTGCAGGGTTAATATTACTTATAATCTACACTTATTTGCGGTCTATTTTCTCTCCTACATGTCCATGAGTTCGTACTGAGGATTCCCTTCTATCCAGTGCTCCAGTATTGAGATATGCCTACTATCAATTTATGCCTGTGAGTGTAATCAAACTAGCAGGGATTTGATGTATTTTGGCTTTACTACTCTATGAGTTTTTATTTTTTCTGTTCTGTAGATCTTTTTTGTTTCCATTTATCACATTTGGCAGTCTGTCTTATTAATAGACCTATGTTTGCCACTCATGGGAGTTGGAGTCCATTGTGGAACTTGGCCGAAACTGTATCCTACTTTTGCTAGTGATATCACCTCTTTATCTAACTAATTTGTTATATATTATATATATATATTTGTAAGCATTTTTTAGGGCTGTGATTTGCTGTGAGTTCATGCCTTAATAGCGACTTTATACCGATCCCAACAGGATCTACTCTTCCCAGGCACATATCTATTGAGTAATATATTCAGCATAGACGTGTGCCCTTTATACACTCATGATATTTGTGATACAATTTTATTTGATCCTTTTATATATTATATATATATATAATTTTTTTTTCTTCTTATCTTTTTTATTTTACGTTTTTCACATTTTTGTTTGTACACAGCACACATTATATTTGCCAGTAGGCAATTTAAATATTTGTTTATTAATAAAGTTTTCTTTCTCTCTCTTGTTAAAGTTTTCTTCCTCCCTCCCTCCAGCTGTGTACCAATAACTGTCTGTCCCTGCTTTGTTTTCGAATTTCCTGGGATGCCCACTTCTGCAAAGATTGGCAACTTTCTTAAATGTTTTCCACTTTTTAATAATCTTTCTCACTGTAGAATGATGGACTTTAAATTGTTTTAAAATTGCTTTATAACCCTTCCATGTTTGATGGGCAGCAACAATTGCTTCTCTAAGATCATGGCTGATGTCTTTCCTCCTTGGCATTGTGTTAACACACACCTGAATGCTCCAGACAAGAAAACAGGTAGAAACCTTGGCTTTTAAAGAGGTCACCCTTGCTGAAATCAATTAATCAATGTATTTTAATAAGCAGCACCTGCCAGCTACTTAGCCTCTTACATCCTATGCAAGAAGTCTGGATGTACTTAGTTTTTCCACACATGGCTTCACCATTTTGGCTTTATTTTTGTTAAATGGATCATGCCACGGTGTAATATTTCATGTGTTGATGTTCATCTAATTTTAAGACCTGCTAAGGAACAGATGATTGGTATTACGTCTGGATATGTAAAACCACAGAATTCAAAGAGAGTATACTTTCTTTTTCCCTTGACTGTATGGACTTTCAGACTTAAAATATTTATGTACTGTACCATCATCTATCTGCATTCTAATTATCGGCTTGTTCAGTTACAGGGCACACTGTAGAAACAAAATCCCTGAAACTGTGTGCATGACTACATCACAATGTACAGTAGGGAAATTTAGAATAAATCCATGTTTTTGAGCAGCAAATACAGAAAGCCATGTATACCCAATAGAGTTCTAATTTATAGTGTAGGAAGGAAGTTGACATTTGTTACACTTCTAAAAGAAATAATAAGGCTTTTCGAATATAAAACAAATTGTAATGTAAATATGCTAGTGGCAACATTAGGTCTACCAAACCACAACAATAACCAGTAATTAAATAATATACCCATATCATTAGCCAGAAGAGTTTCTTTATTCTGTAAGGACCCGAACAGCACCCAGGTGACATAACCACTTCCCAGGGCAGAATTCTGGTACATAAGCCTCTTCCTGCATTGTATTAATCCACCACCTTTCTTCTTGAAGGGGGACTGACATATGGAAGAGGTCCCAATATCTTATTTTTATATACATATATTCTTTCAGTTAGACAGATGTTAGAGGCATTTGTTGTGCATTACATAAGGAGCTACCTTTATGAGTGATTTATGATGGGGGGGTGGGGAAGTAGAGGAGAGAGAACAGAATACCGGAATAGTAATAAAGGGAGAGCTAATGTAGAAAAAGTCCTCGTGTGACAAAAGGTTTGGGTCCCCCATGTAGCGCAAGGGTGGCCAAAAGGTAGTTCGTTATCTGTCATACAACACTTTGCCAGCAGGGGATCTACTATTTGCCCTTCTTTGATGTATGCGTAGGCAGTGTTTGTGTGTAAGAAATATTTGTATGTAGTACGTGTGTAAACGTAGGAGTGTATTTGTATGTATTGTTGTCGTTTAAATGCAGGTGTGCGTTTGCGTGTATTGTGTTTGTATACAATGTTGCCATTTGAATGCAGTGGTGTGTTTGTATGTAGTGTTGATATTTAATTGCAGGGGTGTGTTTGTATGTATGTTTGAGTGTAGGGTTGTATTATTTGAGTACTGTGGGCAACTGAATGCTGGGATGTATGCACATATACACACACTGCACAACTCACACACTGACACAGAGATACAAATACACAATGACACACACAAGTCATAATTTACTAACTTTTAGTCACTTACCAGTTTCCCTGGGGTCCATTGGGATCGAGCTGCAGGAGGTGATAACTGAGGCTAATGGGAGTCTGAGATTGGCCCAGGCTAACCTGAACTTACATCCTCCCAGCAAAGCAGCCAGACAGCAGATCTGACAGGGGCCTAGTTATGCTGCAGATCTGACCTGGTCCCTGATTAGAAATGCTTATCAGATGACCCTAAGTGCGGGGCCCCACCTGCTTGCCATCCCTGGTGCAGCCGCACTGCAATCTTAACCTCTGCGACCCTGGGTGTTGCGCCACTAATACTAATCTTGTTTTACAGGAATAAACAGGTAGAGAAGTGTAATAGATTTGCCTAATCAACACCACCTACACCTCTACTGTAACCTATCTTCCAGGTAATTACTCAATTGTAATAAATAATATGGAACTCTTGTTAATATGGCATATTACTCCATTAAAAGAATGCTCCAAGCACCATAACCACTACAGTCCAGGTGCCATCCAACTGTAAGCAGTCAAACATTTTAAAATGTTTTTACTTTTTACCTGAGGTCAACCAGGCATGACTCCTCACTCTGTGAGCTAAGCCCAGGGGTGCAGAGCTTAGCCCATTGGCTGAAAACAATCAGCTGACACATCAGCCACTGAAACTCTCTTGCTACTGGTTTTTCTCTCCTTAAGTTTAAAGGGTAATCCAGACGTGGAGCCCTTGCTCACGGTGCCCAGAGGGATATTGCCTATACCTCACTGATGATACCTTACAAGGTTGAAACGATCGTCTGGGGTTGCCGTATTTCTCGTGCAGAGGGAACTTGCTGGCATTTTGGATCTGGACTGCCCATATGGGTGGTTAACAGTCTGAAATGCTTCAGATATGTTCTCTCTGTAATAGCACAAGTTGAGCTAAAACCAGCTTGAGATCTGAGCTGGGTTAATGGAGCTATTTTCCGTTCTCACCTCTCTTGCTACTTGTTTTTCTAGCGAATTAACTAACCCTGCACTGCAGGGCTCAGCTCAGGAGAGCCTACTGAATATACTGAATGTAGTATAAGCATGGAGCAACACCAGGTGGATTCAGGTCAAACTGTTTCACTACTCACTAGAGGGTGGGGGGCTGTAGTGAATATGGTTTTAAGTTTTCCTTTACATCTTTAACAACTAGATTGTGATGCTGAAGATTATTAAAGTAGCAATTGTTGAAAAGGTACAATATTGTACGCACGCATACAAGGAACTACACCAAGTCAATGTATAATTTCTGGAAAGTTTACACAAGGTATTTATACAGTCTCCATAATGGAACAATCAATTAACCTAGTAAAGACTTGTAAAACAAAGCACTGCCTTTGTTCCTTTAGATTTGTGTTAGACGTCATGTCCTGACAATTTTCAGAGAAACACTAGTCTTCTCTTAACCATTTCTTTATCTTGTGTGAAGATATTTGTTGCAATGTGTACATATAACTTATCTTGGCCATGTAAAGCAAAGTAAAAGCCTACATAAAACATCTGTACTTCGTATTACAAGGAAAAATGAAATCACATAAATAGTATAATGGTGTCTTTATT